TAATCCTTCAAAACATGAAATATTGATTCACCTTTAGTGTCGGTTATCAAAGCTCTTGTGAAGAGCAGTTCTTCGTAGATTTCTTGATTCATAATAAAACGAACATATGCCAATAATAATGCTGCATTATCAGGTAAAGTTGACTCGTCCAGTTGTATAGAGAAATGGGTTCGTTTGCAAATAATTACATAAGAAGCTTTCAATATCAGAACTCATTTCATCAATACGTCTTTCAACAGTATTGTTGCTTAAGGGAATTATTTTAATGATATCAGATGCAGGTTTGTGTAAAACAGTTTTTAAAACCACTTCAACGGCTGGCAAAATTAACTTCTCTCCGATAGTATGCGGTTTTCCGGATTTTGCTATAAGTAACGAGATATTGTAAGACGCCCGCAAACCATCATCATTTCTTTGTGATGTCGAAGCGAACATTCTGCCCAGTGTAGGTCTCTTCTGAAATTTTCTTTGAGTGTTTGAAAGTATTTCAAATCTTTCTGTTTTATCAGGGTGGCATCTTCTCAGATGATCTTGCAGTTTAGATGGTTTCATAGCGTCATTGCCCAAAACTTTGTTCCATAAAAGGCACATAGGCGATTGCTTGTCCGGCATTGATGGAATGAAGCCAAATTTCAAATAATCAATACTGTACTGTCTACATTTCTTTTTAGATTCGGACATGGCGTCAGTCATCTGTAGGCAAAATCAAATTATTTAAATACGACAGAAAATCCAGCAGCTGTATATTAAAAATATTTTTTGATTTTTCCGAAAACATTCCATAATTCGAACATCTTCTTGCAACAATTAGCTCGAATTACGGAGATTGCACTGTAATTATATTACCGATTGCTAAAAATTTCAAAAAGAAACTATCGAGGAGTACTCGTGTAATTTTGGATGATTGAATATTTAACTGCTAATAACTAAAGTCATGATTGGCGTAATTTATCTATCTTTGCTAACTACGAGTACAAAACTAAAATTTAATAAAAAATAATGTACTTACTTTTCTCCAGCACTCTCAAACAAAATAACACTGACTCACTATAATTTGTGTAATATACTATCTGTTTATATTTTTTAAAATATTTTCTTAGCACTTTCCTTTTCAAGATTCAGGAAACGAATAAATGTATTTGTCCCACATTCGTATTTATAGAGTGACGAATTGAACAAGTCAGTGTAAGGTAGCGAAGCTCTGAGACTCTCAGGTTTTTACAAGTTCAAAATGTATTGCGACTACAAAGCGAATACCAACATCCTACAACTTACACAATTTTATAAACATATATAATATTTTTTTTACTTCATAGGTACTTTTATAAATAATGTTTATGTTTTGATATTATAAGATAGTATGGTGTAAGTAAATAGGTACTATCAGTGTATGTGTTGAGATCCACTATCGTGGACCCCCATATTCATTTCATGGACCCCCAAATTTTTTTTCGCTGACGTAGACCCCTTGCGGGTTGTCATAGACCCTTAGTGGTCGATATAGACGACTTTGGGAACCAATGGTTTAGAGCTAGGAAGTACTTTTCTCCACGTGACCTTCTCACTCTGGCACATATAAGACCTAGCCTCGAGAATTGGTCACATGTTTGGGGAGCTGCCGCCCCGACTACATTATCCATGCTCGGAGCTGTTCAGAGGAGGGCTGACCGACTGATCGATGACTCTTCTCTAACGGACAGTTTCGGGACCCTTTCGCACCTGTAGGCCGTCGGCGATCTAGCTCTTTTCTACCGTTACACCAACGGGCTTTGCTCCTCAGACTCGCCTGACTTCGGCCTCCCATCATAACCGTGACAAACTTCCTACATCCAGAACTGGCCGATATGACCGATCATTTGTCAGTGAGGTATCAAGATTGTAGGAGAATCTACACGAGGAGGATTTTCTCAGTTCTACTAACCTGAGGCAAATCAAACATCGGATAAACACAGTAATTGCCCATTCCATTCGAAAAACCGCTGTATTCGGGCGAGATTGTCTAGCATGCTCAGAATGAATCAAGAAAATGAGGTCTCAACAAGAGAGCAGGATTTGATTTAAAAAAAACAATTTCTTTTCGAACTACGCCAATATTTATATTTCAACATGAAGAGGAATAGTTGCGATTAAACATGAAATAGGACATCCGGTAAATGGTCACCACGAAACATCTGGTACAGGGTCAGTCTTTTCTTAAAATTTTGGATAACGTTTTTGCACAACTGTGGCTGGATTTCGCCGATAACGCGCGGAACCTCTTCTTTAAGGCGTTCACCGCATACACCTTTTACTTCACATATCCCCAGAGGAAAAAGCCAATTGGCGCTAGATCGCACGATCTTGGCGGCCAATTTTGATAGCCAAACCGAGAGGTGACGCGGTCTGGAAACCTGGTCCGCAGTAACACCATTGTTTCGCGTGCTGTGTGGCACGTCGCACTGTCTTGATTGAAGAACATATCCTCCACATCAATCCAACTGGGGCCATAAAAACTCGGTTAGCAGTACGCAATAATGTACCAAGAGGTGTCGTAGTGCGACACAATGTTGACATCTATGAGAGGATTTTGGCACTTGTCGAGGAAGATCCTACTCAAAGCATCCGAAATGTAGCTTCATCACTGGGAATTTCAATTTGGAAAGTACTTCGCCAGAATAATAAACATGCCTTCCACTACACTCCCGTACAAGGTACGTAATTGTTTATCACATTTACATTTGTCTGCAATGGAAACTTCTTATCGCTTTTATTTAGCATGTAGCGGCGGCAAACTAATGTTACCCGTTTTTTTTTTTTGATTGCAGGTCTTGAAAACAATGACTTGGACAACCGAGACCGGTTTTGTCGTTTCTTGCTGCACACAGAGGTGGACGATCCGGACTTTTTGACAAGTATTCTGTGGACGAATGAGTCCAAATTCACCAAGGAAGGGATACTAAATTTGTACAATCTGCACCATTGGGCTTCAAAAGATCAGAACCCAAGAGTGTAGAGGCCAAGCTCTTTTCAGAGAAGATTCATTGTGAATGTTTGGGCAGGAGTAATTGGCAATCATGTGATTGGGCCACATTATTTGACAGATCGTCTTAACGGAGATAATTATCTACATTTTCTGTGTTCTGTGTTCCAACATGATGACTGTCTTGCACACTGGAGGCTAATTGGGCGGGAACATCTAAATGATGTTTTTCCGAATGCGTGGATTGGACGAGATGGTCCTTTCCATGGCCTGCACGCTCCCCAGACCTAACTCCATTGGATTTTTACATCTGGGAACGTGCAAAAGCACTCGTCTACGCGTCAGAAGTTGGGACAAGGAAGGAGTTGATCCGAAGAATAGAAGAGGCGTTTGGTACGATTCGGCAAGAAATTCGCCTACGTACGACAACAATCGAGATAAGGCAAAGGTGTCGTGCGTGCATACGCAATAGAAGACAACAATTCAAACAAGATTTGTGAAACAGAAAAAATAATAAATGATTGAAATTTGGTTTTACACGTTTTTTATTTTCCTTCCCCTGTACACAAAATTTGCTAATTCAATGAGTTAGTTAAACTTTTTTGTGAATTGTGTCATAGCGTTAGAATCGGGATAAACTAGAGTAGTCTTTAAAATAATTCTAAGAACGTGAACGCTTTTAGTTTTTTTACAGAAATTCAAAATTGAGACTTACATTTTTTGTTTTTCTTTGTAACCATTTGTGCGTTCATAAATAAAAAACCACATGCTGCTGGCAAGTAATGTTGATTTTGTAGGATTGGTACAGCATCACCCATTAAAATAAATTAATCATTAGGTTTTTACTAAAAAAAATTAAAAAATCTACATAATTGATTCCGTTGGGCTAAAAACTGTTTGAAGGACCTGGGGTGATAGAAAAAGACCTCCTCTGTCCGTCATTTCAATTTGGCAAACGATGCACCAAACACCCTGTATTTTGGAAGGACCGACCAGGACGACGACGAACACTGGTCTTCACATTCAGCAACGTGAATTTTGTCTCAAATTTTGTAATTAAACGGCTAACTGTCGAATCATTTGGCGTATTATTGCGACCGAAAATTGTACGTAATTTGCGAACTATTTCCGCATAATTTTCTTCATTTTTATAGTGAGTTTTCACAATAATTAAATATTGCTCGTTTGGATACTGCTCCAGGAGGTTGATAGAGTGATCTGGACATGACAGCTGCAATCAGGTAAACACCATACCATTTGTACAAAAAAAAATGGCGACAAAATCAAATCCGGGGCTCTTCTTGAGACACCCTTTATAAATATATCAGAAGAGATTAATAGTCGTAGACACGCGACAGCCAGGCGGACATGAGTTGAATATTCTAAACAGGATCTCATCTGGTGTTTGTATAATATAACTATATTCTCAATCATAAGCTGATGCCTCTTATTTGATGAGATGGTGTGCCAAGTATTTAGAAGTATTGACTGAACCATATTCTTGCACCCCAAAAACAATGACAGCCACTAGGTATTTGGTTAAATGGATAAAATTCCTCCACACATTACATTAATATGTATATACTCGTATGTAGATGGATTCAAGTCCCATCAAAAATTCGTATTTCAAATAAAATAAACTGGTAGAACTTTTTACTGACATGTAGGCCACCACAGAGCTCGTTTTACAACCCTTTAAGAGTACCGATTAACATGGCGACGTCATGGATCTCTAGATCTCTACTTTGAAAAAGGATTCCGTGTTGCTTCAACGTCAGTACGTGGTTTGTCTTTGCCAGAAGAAAATGGAGTTATATCGGCATGAAAACTACAGAGTTTCAGACGTTACATCATCAAATAAACTGAACATAAAGAAGCTTTCTGCAAAGTGATTGTTTCATAATCCCTACTCTAGCAAATGAGTGGTGTATCTAAGACTTTAGTGCTGTCTTGCAAAAATTTCAACCACCGGTTAGCTCTAAGTAAAAATAATATGAGAAGGCGTCATTGGTTGCACATATTCCTTAACTGATTACAACAGGTATGGTTATCGAGGAACAGACTCCAAAAAGAATCTGTGGGTGTTACCAACAGGAGAACTTCTTTATTTCGTAGCTGCTGTAGCTGTAATGTATGATAGAGATGAAGAAACTCAGAGGCATTACGTAGGACATACTGAAGACATACAATGGTAAACATGAGTTACTTGTTTTTACAGTCATAACATTACTTTTTTATAACATAATTTTATGGAAAATTGTTTCATCATAAAGTTTTTTATTCACGAAATTTCAAGTGAGTTCACTATTTTTGAAGCTATATTCAGGATGCAGATGCCTATTTGGTATTTTTTGCATTAACATTTTTTCATTATTTTACGGTGCTGGTGCGACATGCTAGATCCGCTATCTTAGAAATAAACATCAATCATTAGATGATTATTTTTATAAATATTTTTCAGTATGGATCTCCATCCATCTAGAGAAATGGTAGCCTCAGGACAGAGAGCAGGAAGAAATAGAAAGACTCAGGCTCATATCCGTATTTGGAGCACAGAAACTCTGCAAACTCTGTATGTCTTCGGTATGGGAGAGTTTGAAGTAGGAGTTGCGGCTGTGGCTTTTTCGCAGTTGGTGAGTCTCCATTTTTGTTATGAGGTATTCTCAGGAAGACAACGGTTTTACGAAGATTGGCCTGACAAGCAGAATTTTGGATTATAATTGTTCAGTGCATTCTCTTGCATAGGGGGCGTTTCAAAAAGGTCTCCGTCGCTATTAATTTTCAAGGTTAGTCAAGTTAATGAAATGGAGTTAAGGGTGCTGAATCCTATATTTTAACAAAAAAGTGGCTAATTGAAAATTCCAAAAAGATGGCTAAGCGCTAACATTTGCAAATGAAATGAGGGTCATGTAGTACCTCATTTTGAAGCTCCTAAAATATAAATTTCAATATAATAAGCTGAAAAATTGTCATAGTTGAGCGCTTTTATAGGTACATACATTGAATCGCTTATCACTGAACAACCAATAAAATGGATATTATTGTGTTGGACGGATATGTGACCAAATTAGGAACGTACAATTAAAAGAAATGTCTAAATTTGTCAATTTTTCAACATATTGTCCCATATCTTATTGCTCATCCAGAAATAGTGTTATAAACCATGAAGATCGATATAATTTGATAAGTTGTCCAGTTATAACTTATAACCGATTTAATGTACAACAATGCTCAACTTTGACAATCTGCACAGTTCGCCATTTTAAAAAAAAGTGATTTTATTTTCTAGTACTCATTAGGAGTTTGCTATTTTTCGATAAAAACCAGTATTTCACATAATTTCATCACCCCAAATTCCATCATGCCAACTTGACTTCAAAAATTATAGAGGGATGTGGAACTTGGAAGCACTACGAATAAAGATGTGAATATACTAAATGATAAACAATGTTTCTAGATTATGTCTATTTTTCAGAATGGTGGTAGTTACGTTTTGGCTGTTGACGGTGGCAGAGAAAGTATACTGTCAGTCTGGCAGTGGCAGTGGGGACATCTTTTGGGCAAAGTTGCTGTAAGTATATATAACACTTTTCTTTCTCCTTCCACCATCTTTATTTACCACGCCTGGGGCGTTTTTAAATATCGGTCCAGTGGTTGCGGGGCTATAGGCAAAAAACAAATGCTTAGACTTCGTTTTATAACGTTTCAGTGGCTACTGAACATTTTCATAAACATTTTTGGGGGGGCTAGAAGTTGAGTGTTGAGGGAGGGTATATCTCGATTTTTGAGTGTTACAACATTTATGAGTTCACAAACCCGATAATAATTCCGAGCACCTATTAGACATATTTAATAGAGCTGGATTCCCCGTACATTTCAGTTAAAACTTAAAGCGATAGCGAAATATTTTCAATACACGCATCCCACGCAACGCAAATGACGTAGGTATACCTGCGTCGAGGTCTGACCGATATTTGACATATGAATAGCGAGCGAGGGGCGAGGTTAGTCATAGCAAGGTTGCGAGATAGTCCGTATTGTCGGTAGTACAGTGGAGAAATTCATAGATCGCATCGTTGTCAAATGTGTGGGACTATGCACTATTTGTATAGGCTTGTTTGATCTATTCCATTTAATTTTCTTGTTATACATATTCGTGGCTAGCGTTTTTTGACAGATGCGCTAACTTGTAAGGAGCATAATCCTTTAAAAACTGATGACAGCGTTGCAAGGAAAGTGCAAACCTACTTGGCGCCATCTTTCAGTTTTTATGACTGGATATGACCTTCCAAGTATTTTGAGCCTTCAAAGGCGTAATAAAATTGTGTCTGTATTTCCGTTAGAAGCATTTTACTAGCCAGGTTTGGAGTCACCAACGTTATAAGAATTACTAATAATGTAACTCATTTACATCTGTTTGTCTTTTTATTCTCACTGTTCGATACTGTTTTGTAGTAACAAAAAGTGTGCTTTAGATGTTTTTTTTTGAAAAATACGTCTTTCATGATACTTTTAAAACCGGTCTTAAAAATGTTGAAAAGGTCAAGAAAAATAAGCAGGGATATGAATGGCGCTGTCGAAAAACCTGAATTTAACGTGTTTTCAAATATATTATTTTATCTATATGTGACAAGTGCCGGGTTGCTTTATGTAGCTGATTTCTACTTCCCACGCCTTCTGGCGGAGAAGTATTGTAATCGCAAAAGTTTTCGGAAATGAGACAGTATGTTTTTCGGGTGTTATATGACGTACTTTCACACAAACAAAAATGTTACTCATTTCCGTCGGTCTCTCCGTCTGTCCACTAATCTTATAACCGCCTGTAACTTGAGAAGTACTGCTCGGATTTCGATGAAATGTTTACACATTGTTATCACTATGCCAAGGACGTAAAAGCTTTGAAGCTTCCGACTATCGGTCCAGTGGCGACAAAGAAAAAGACCAAAAACGGTAAAGAAAAAAGTCTCGCGTAAACTTTTTGACGTTTTAGATGATCATTTTTGAAAAAAATGTATATGTAAAAAACTTGGGTTGGGCGGGGATTGTAGGTGATGGCGAGGGTTTATGTTGAATTTTTGATGTTAGTACATGAATACTCTTCCAACCTTGGTAATTCTATGCCCCTATTAGACATATTTTACACACCATAGATTTCTCCGTACATTACCCGAAAAAAATATTCTGAAATATTGTTGACTGTTTTGTTGTCCTGGTATGGTATTACACGTATTTCTGCCGCCTCACAGCATAGTGTTTCCTATACTCTGACCGCGCTGCCACGTATGACAGGGTAAAGTTTTCAGATGCATCACCGAAAGGGCAGGGAAAGAATGTCTATGAACTGATTTTCTCAGTTTTCTAGCGCTTAAACAATACCTGTATTATAGACAGATGTAACTCATTAGCGTATCATAAGAGGCTAGCAAGTAGGATATGAAAGGTTGTAGAATAAAGATAGTTCTGTTTATTTCATTTGTCTGATTAAGATCTTTTATTTTAATCTCTTCCAGTATAGTACATTTTAGTTAGGTGTAAGAGTAGCCAAGTCTCACCTGGAAATAATGTTAATAAAAACGATTACTATGAATTGTATGGACCTGTTTAACTGACTTTTCTCTCAGAGGGTCTAGTTTGTGAACATAGCAAAGCACTTTAGTGATGTATATGATAGTTCTTTATATCCTCTACCCTCTTTTTTATTTGAGAAGACAGGAGATATACTACTAAACAAAATTTCTCTTGAGGAAGTATTTAATAAAATCCTAAGTCTCCCAGTGAAGTTCGGGTACTGACCAAATTCCAGAGATTTTTCTCAAAGAATGTATCTTTACACTTACTAAACCCTTGCATCTTATTTTTAACATGTCCATCCAAACATGTGTTTTTCCTGACACTTGGAAGCACAGTTATATAAAGCCAATTTCTAAGTTAGGAGATGTTGAAGATATTAGCAATTACAGAGGTGTATGTGCCCAGTCACCGATTCCGAAACTTTTTGATAGCTTGATACGAGTATATGATCAACTTAACTGGTATTGCCGTGGGCTTGTAAGTAGCTATCAATTTGGGTTTACTAAGGGTAGATCAACTGTGGAGAATTTGGTTTCTCATAAAGTTGATCTGTTGGAGGCACTGGAAAAGCGTCACCAGGTGGATGCAATCTACACAGACTTTTCCAAAGCCTTCGACAGAGTGAACTTCGACATTCTATTGGCAAAGCTGTCAGATTATGGTTTTTTAGAAGACACTATAAGATGGTTGGAGAGCTTCCTTAAGGGTAGGACTCCATCTGTAAAAATTAGTGGACATCTGTCTTCGAAATTCCAGGTTACATCAGGGGTTCCTCAGGATTCCCATTGTGTCCTCTTCTCTTCATTTTTTTTTTTTGTGAATATTCATCCCTGATGCGCTGTGGCAGTGGACACAGCTTAATCACTTGTATCTGAACTCTAATAAATGCGTTTTCATAAGTTTTTTCAAAAGTAGGAGTAGAATTTCAACTGGCTATAGATTAAATAATGATACTATCCATTATAAGGCTACCGGTAGGGATCTTGGTGTGCTTTCTTATGAAAGGCTTAACTTTTCAGACCATGTTCTCAAAGTTATTATAACGGCCATACAGAAACTGTAAATGTTTTTCAATCAATACCTTCCGAATTTTATATTCCTCCTTGGTAAGATCAAATTTAGTATATGCCACAGTAGTATGGTTCTCTCAGTACCAGTGTTATAAAGATGATTTAGAGCGTGTCCAGTATACATTTTTACGTCTTGCAGCATTAAAGAGCAACTTAAACATGACGGAATATCATACAGCTGACATGTTAGAACATTTGCGTTTACCTATATTGGAGCATAGACGCTTGGTCTTTGATGGTTGTTTCGCTTTCAAGATTTTATTGGGGAATACCGATTGCGAAACTTTGTTAACATTAATAAATCTTAATATACCCCGTAGAACATTGCGTAATAATAGTCTGCTTGCGATTAAGTTCCATCCCACAACCTATGGTCTGCACTCTCCACTCGATAGAGCATTTCGTGTTATCAATTTAGCTCAGTCTAATACACTCTCAGGCTTTAAAAATTATCTTTCAAATTATGATTTTTATAATTATGTCTTGTGAGCTTGCATGTTGTAAATGTTGTTCCCATTTTGGTAAATAAATAAATAACCTTTATCACGTTGCGTGGGAAGTGCAGAATGAACCAACTTGACGCCATTTTTTATTAAGTTCTAACTGATTTAGCAACAAGAACTAAATCAGACCTCAATAAATCGTATCTTCTATCATACGCCATCATGTTATCATAATATACATATATAATTTAAGTGCTAGCGTAAAGAATTATCGTGCGATAGGGAGAGAGAGTTCAAGGCCTTTCGCGTTTTGGGGGTGGTGGTGTACCTAGAGGCAAGCCAAGGCCATCATATGCAAAACTACGTTGGTCGACTGGCGGCATCGGCACGAAAACGGTGTTTATGCAGATTTTCTTTCAATGAATTATTCCAAACACACTACAATATACACAGCAAGAATGGACTGGTACAGGCACCACGCCTTGAAGTGGACAGCTCGGACACCTCTTGAAGCAAAGGGTTTGTCTGTTCCATCCCCTGAATTGGCTTGCTTTAAAAGGGAAAATGTTTAAGCAGTATTTCAGATTATCAGTACGCTGTTTGAATGCAGCATCGTTATAATCTTTTAATTTCTTGACATGTTGTGAGCATGAAATGCACTCGGTGACAAAAAAATAGCGCTCTGAGGTCCAGTTTGTGGATCCAACTTTTTTTGGCAAATAAATGAACAGTGGAATCTCTATAACTCGAACTTGAAGGGACAGCCAAAAAAGTTTGGATTATAAAGAGTTCCAGTTAGAGAAAAACCTCATTGTACGCATGTACCTACATACATATGTAAATACATATTCGAAAACATATTTTTTATTATTATACATACATACATAATAACATATGTAGTAAGAAACTAAACTTCATAGCAAAAAGCGTTAAAATAAGAAAAAAGTCTCTACTAACTTGAAATGTATGTACTAAAAGCGCTTTAAAAATAATCAGATGATTAATATGATTATTTTTTCATGGGCGGTAAGATTCATATTTTTGTCTAATTTGGCAAATTAAAGCAAAGTCGTGATTAATTGCAGACTCATTCATTGAAAAGGCCAGCTGGATGGTTACAATTGCCTTTAAAACTTCGGCGCCAGAAGGCTTGTCTCTTGGAGTTCCTTCACTGTCGTCTTCATCATCAGATCTGTTCTCCAATTCGTCCTCCAAGTCATCCTGTTTTTAGCTTACACTTTCCAATATTTCGTCTTACGTAGGAATTTCACTTGATATTAGATCATCGTCTACAGTTACAAATTCATCAAAAGAGACTTTATCATTAGCATTCAAAATTTCTAAGCATCTATCAAAAGACTCTTGGACATTTAGGGCTAGTTGCTGTTCCTTGATAATTATTTTTCTTAATTCTGATAGAGGCATTTCATCTTCTAAGTCATAATAGGTGTGAGTTCCAAACCCAGCTTTCCTGAAGCGGTTTTAAATAGTCGCTTGGGTTACATCAACCTCCCATACTGTTGCCGAAATATGAATGCAATTAAAGAAATCAATTTTAGGAATTGTGGCATTGGTTTCAAATCCGTCTAGTATTTTTTTCCATGATTATACATTTATAATGAAATTTAAAACTTTTTATAATATCCTGATCTAGAGGCTGCAGTTTGGATATATGATAATCAACTTTATGACCTTTAATCAGTTGTCAATCAGAAACAAAACCTTACGGTTTTGAAGTAGAAACTGTTTGTCCAGGTCCAACAGCCACTTTGAAAAAATTTTTAACTCCTCGAAAGCATCGTGTTTTTGCGCTTTTTCCTATTAGGACAAGTTTTAGTTTTTCAGTGCCAGTCAGATATGTTGTTAATAAAAGGCTCACACTTTCCTTAGAGACTTTTCCTCCGTGAAATTTTTCAGATTTCAATGTTAAGCTTTTGCCTGGTACACATTTAAAAAATAAACCAGTCTCATCTGCGTTAAAAATATCGTCTGTTTTGTAGCGGTTAAAAGAGCCGGAAGGGTATCTTTGATCCAGTTATTACACTTTTCGGTCCACGGCAGCACTTTCACCACATGCTTCTTTTGTAATATGCCATGTCTAAAGTTAAAAAAAAACATGTAAACAAAAACATAAAAAAGACACAAAATTATGTTACCTCTTTTTAAATCTGTCCAGCCATCTCGAGCTTGCTTGGGCAATGGGCCCTGAGATGGGCAAACTTGCTTTTCTTAAAGTTTCAAACCACTTAATTAATGCAGTGTTTACTGTCTTCGAAGCCGTGTTTCGCTTCACTTCACCTGGGTTAGCTACTTCGGAACCAAACTGCACTATAGTCTTTTTGTTTTTCATTATAGTGGATAACGTACTTTTTGGAATGCCATATTCTTGGCAAATAATCTTTCTTCGAGCACCATTCTCCACTTTTTTTAAAATTTCAATCTTCTTCCCGATCGTTAACGTTTTAAGTTTTCGCGGTGGCAACATCTTGCTAACTAAAAACGCTTTTTACCTTGAAATTTCATCCGCGGAATTTTACACTTGCCTAGGGGAATCCCATAATATCACACAATCGCCGCTTACACTCGATGAAATTCGTCGAATCTATTTCAAAGTGGGCCGTGCCGCCACCTTACGATAAGACGTCAAAGCTCAACTTTAAACGCATTCTTCGAAAGTTCGACTTTCAGAGATTTTTAATTTGACAGGACGAAGCTTTGGGTTCCAGGTGTTCGAATTATAGAAATTCGAGTTATTGATGTTAAAATACATGGAAATCTTGGAAAGTGGACAGATACCACTAAAAAAAGTTATAGAGGTTCGACTGTATTTGAATTTGAAATAGCAACTACCATTTTTAAAAGCAAAATCGTGTAGTGTTCAAGGCATCCGTACGTCTGCTGTTGCCCCCAGAATTGTCCAAGCACGCAGTCAGCGAAAGTACCCAGTAACCTGTTCGAAGTAAATTGTGCGATAATGGAGAAGGGATATCTCGATGACTAAATACAACAACAACAAAATTAGAATGTATGATTATAAATGACGTCAAGAGGTCATAACGGACCAATCAATGGAGCCCACTGTATACGTTTGAAAAGTACACGAACACGCTCGAAAATTATCTAGGTCGCATTTGGGACATCAGTGAATTCCATATTTGATATCCTGCGATTTCTGTTAAGCACTTTTCCGAAATATGCGTAGTCATCAAATTTTGAGGGTGGCCGTGTGGTTTTCAGGCATTACTACTGTACTGATTGGACCAGTTATGACTGTTTAGCCTTGTTCATAGAAATGCACTCAATCTCAAGACCTCTAAGAAAAAATGGTTGCTGCTAAGTGAATTTAAAAACTTGATCTCCAAGTGGCCATGTAACCATTTTTTAAAATGAAATGAAATAAAATACGTCAAGTTTTTCATCTTAATCTTTTATTGAAACCTATGAAAAATAATATCCAACAAATGTCTAGAAGCCACGCAAACCTGAGTCCTCTTGATACATTTTCTATCACTTTTTGGTAGGTTACGGGAGTAATATTTTCAATCGCTTCCGTAATATCATTCTCCAGCTGCTCTACAGTATTTGGTTTGTTGGTATAAACCCTGTTTTCAAAAATCCCCTCAAAAAAAGTCAGGAGCCATCAAATCTGGCGACCTTGGTGGCCAGTTGACCAAATCGAGAAATTAGACGTCCCGGAAATATTGTTCATTGTTTCCCTAGCTGTGTGACAAGTTGCTCCATCCTGCTGGCACCACATGTGACGTGCGACAAATACCCAGTTCTTGAGAACGATGTCTGGTAGACGTTTCAGGGTGCTCCACCACACTTTCACAAACTCTCTCGATATTTTCCGGAGTACGAATAGTTCGAACACGGCCCGACCTCGGTTTACTTCACCTGTTCGTTCAAATTTCCGCACCAACTGATGAATGGTGTTGACACTGACCGAAATCTTGTCGTAGCTTCCGAATCTACTCATTATTTAAGTAAAACGTTTTAACAATACGGACGCGTTGTGGGGTCGTGTAGCACTCCATGATGAATCGGACACATGTGCGTTAAACAGCTACTGCGGCGCCACCTACTAAAATGCGTGTATCAAAAATGGCGCGCAATTTAAATTAGTCACTATATTGGCCACCTTGTACAGCCACAGTGTTTGTGGTCTTGACGATACTCAACAACTTCAACATAGACACAATAATGATTAACTTTAGATATTAAATGTAAACCCTCCAAGTCTAAAGTATGCATAAGATGGCAATGGATCGTTGGAGCATCTTAAAGACATTCGCTTAGACTGATAGAATAATTCCCTTATGTGAGTGTACCAGAAGCTGACATGCCCCTCATCGGGCTCGAAACAGCTTTAATCCTAGCCCCTTGCATCTAAAAGACCTCAATGCTATACCCTACATCACCTTTTATGTAGAATGGTTTCACGTGGCATTATAAACGATTCAATAACTGTAATAAAATGTAACATTTTATATATAGGCAAAATCACGGAAGATGACTATTACGTCATACTATAAATTGTATTGAAGTATCAATGGACGTACGTCGTTGATAAAATCACGATATCAGGAACAAAACAACAAATTTATATTATGATTTTGTGAAGTTACGTTATTTCACTGACTATGTTTATTTTCATTTTATTTCATTTTTTTTTAGTGATACCATAATAATAATTTCAGTGGGGAGGACAGAGACAGGAACACCAAAGACCACAGTATTATTCGAAAACAACCTAACCTACTTTAACATAACCTAACTATTCATCTTTCAAATATGAACGATCAAGCAAAATGAAAACATAGTCAATCTGTCGGATACATGCAAATTAGCAATACAGTTTGTTTAGACAATAAAATTCTGTTTCTCTGACTAACATATTTGAAACTTCATTAAAAATATTTATTTGTCTAACTAACTAACTAAAATAATGACGTAATCGTCATCTTTCGTGATTTCGACTATACTTATATATTTATTCGAGCATTTGTATTTATATTCATTCTTTCCTCCACAGACATTGCAAGAAGAGCTAACAGGGGCTGTCTTCCATCCTCTAGATGACAATTTGATGATAACTCATGGAAAAGGGCATTTAACATTCTGGAATAGGAGGAAAGATGGATTTTTTGAAAGAACTGATATTATAAAACCAGTAAGCTTAATATCAATATATTTCTCTTATACTTCTATTCAACTACCTAAAGCCGTGTACAGATATGTGACAACACCGCGAACCGAACCACGCGACGAACCGCACCGCGCTAGTGTAGACGGTGAAAAGAACGCCGTCGCGAACCTGATTAGTGTTAAGCCGCGTCCAGATTTATACCACATCGCGTAACCGTACCACGTCGCGAACCACCTTGCGAACAGAAATCTCGCAATCACGTACGCTGCATCGAACAACACTTCGAACCTCGCTCTGCAACCATTTAGGCGATCCGTGGTGAACGAATATATTTGAATTTCTGCTCGGTAGTAGTAGTCGATTCAATTTTCAAAATGGATGTCGCCGCAGCTGCGTTCATATATATTCATTACGCTTTATCAGCTAAAAAGCGAAAACAAAAACAAAGACGGTGGTGGTAAACAGGAATATTTAGAAACAGAATGAAATATGGCGCAAATAATTTACTTGCGGATTTAAAGATGCAAAAAATTAGTGGCCAATACAAAAATTTCACTCGAATGTCACCAACAGATTTTGAATATCTTTTGAATGCAATTGGGCCTAAAATACAAAAGCAAGACACCAAGTTCCGGAAAGCAATTTCAGTGCAAGACAGACTAGCTGTGACCCTACGTTTTCTGACAACAGGAGATTCCTATTCAAGCTTACAATATTTGTTTAGAATTTCCAAGCAGTCCATTAGCGAAATTGTTCCAGAAGTTTGCCTAGCCTTAGTTGAAGAATTGAAAGGAAGTATTCAGGTAAATAAAGCAACACATTTAGTGGGTTCAAATTTTCTATATTTCAAGTTATGAACAAATTAGTCACACATCGCCGCTTTTACAAGCTCTTCATATGTAGTTTCTTCTGACGAAAGATTTGTAGGGGAACATTCAGGGGGAGAACAGAGTGATGAAGATGAATTATTATGATATTCTTGTGGCGATATCGGATGTTGAGATTGTTGGTAATGAGAACGTTGGTTTTGAGAATATGAGGGATCTTGGGATGATATTGTGAGAGCAGAAGAATAACTCTGTGGTTGTACAGGGTGGTGTATTATATTTGGTTTAGGATAAGGATGGTATTTATATTTTTATATAATTTTTTAATAATGATATATTCGACGTGCAGTTTATTTGCGTTTTACTTACAGATACCCAAATCACAAGAGGGATGGCAAACCGTGGCTGACGAGTTTGAATCAATATGGAACTTTCCACATTGCCTCGGGGCCTTAGACGGAAAAGACGTTGTTCTACAAGCACCCATAAATAGCGGAAGCGAATATTTTAATCATAAGATTACCTTCAGCATTGTCTTTTTTGCTGTGGCGGACGCGAAATATAATTTTCTATACGTGAATGCTGGGTGCCAAGGCAGAATATCTGATGGCGGAGTTTTCAAAAACACCCAACTGTACAAGAAATTAGAGAAAAATGGTTTGAGTCTTCCACCAGCTGAACCTCTAAATGGAAGAGAAAAGAGTATACCTTTCTTTTTTCTTGGAGATGAAGCTTTCGCATTGGCTGAAAATCTTATGAAACCTTTCCCAGGCCTACATACTAAAGGGTCTGTGAAACGAGTTTATAACTATCGCCTCTGTAGAGCACGTCGAGTGGTGGAATATGTCTTTAGCATTTCTTCGGCAGTTTTCCGAGTGTTACGAAAGCCACTACTATTGGAACCAGGAAAGGCCGAGTTAATTGTAATGACAATAGCTTATTTACACAATTTTTTGAGAAGAAGTAGTAATTCTTGTAATGTCTATACACCCCCCGGGACATTCGATACAGAAGTGGACGGTCGCCTTATTGAAGGAAGCTGGAGACGGATAATTCCGAATGATGAAACAATGACTTCCCTACTTCCGTTGAGAAATGTACCTCGCAGGTCATGCAAACGTGCTCAAGAAATTCGAGAAGAATTGGCAGAATATTTTCATGGTCAGCTTGAATGACATGATGATTATTCGTAAAAAATTATTTATGTAAGAACATAACCTATACTTTTCAGTTTAAAATCTCTAGGCCCTGTTACATATTCGCAATAATGCAAAACAAATAATGATTCGTTTAAACTTACCGTGCTTGATGTTTCTCTAGGGCAATTTTTGTCTAGAAGAAACTCCATCGTCTTGTATGCAAACCAGTTGCTTTCATAAATTTCATCTGAGCCTATTGATAAAAATAAAAAATATATGTAAGTTATATTGTAAGATAAACAAGAATATTAAAATATACCTTTCCCGGTTCCTCCACTTTTCTTCACTTTAGCCCTCTCCCGTCGGAATGAAGAAAGCAAATTGGTAACTTTTTTTTGATTTCCTCCACCGGTTGGTTCAATTCGGCAGCTATTTTGACCCATGAATCATATTTTCTAAGTTTGTTATAGTATAATGAATGTTTTGGATTCCATAAGCATTCATTTTGCCTATATAAACTGATTAATTCTAGCACGCGGTCTTCGGTCCAGTCCATTTCGCTAGCAGAGAGCCCAAATAATGATTGAAGAAATGAAATTGTTCGTCTGCCTGTCCAGACTTGTGTAACGTCGTCGCGCACCAATCCTTTGATGTTCCGTCCATTTACCGACTTGCCGTGGATCGCGACGTACCACGAGCTGCAACACATATTAGGTTCGCGACGGCGTTCGTTCCGACGTCCAGACTGGTTCGCGGCGTGGTACGGTTGCGCGATGTGCTACAAATCTGGACGCGGCTTTTACAGCTCGCCGTTCAGCACGATCCAGGTTCTGCCGGTTTTTCAGAGCGACATCAAAGGAATGGCTCGCGACGAAGTTGCACATATTTTGACAGGTTTACCGGTGTGGCGAGCACCAATGTGTTATTTTGTAATGTACTTAGAAGTAGGAGAATTATTTTTCTTACTTGTAAATTTTCCTTTAAAACTTTGATCAATGTATCACAAACCTCTGGAATGATGTAGGTGATCGATTGCTTTGAAATTCGAAACATGTTTTGCAAACTACTGTATGAATCTCCGGTCGCTAAAAATCGCACCGTGACTGCAAGTCTTTCTTGTACTGTAATGGCAGCTCCCCATTCTGTATCTTGTCTTCGTATTTTTGGTCCAACCAACGTCAGAAGATATCCAATATCCATCGGAGACGTCCTCGTAAAATTTTTATACTGTCCACTTACTTGTTGAAATTTCAATTCTGCTATCAACCGTGTGCTGATCTATTGGTATATAACTGCGTTTGCCACCATCGTCCCGGACGTCGTCGTCGCTTGTTTTTAGATAATTAGTAATGAATATAAATACAGACAGCTGCTGCTACTACTATGTCCATTTCCGCTAGTACTCATCTTACAAACATCAAAATTGGATCGATCATTTTGTTGCGCGATGTGGCTGCACGACCTCGTTCCGTTTGCAATGTTGTTCGTCAAAATGCGCGCGCTGCGGTTCGTCGCGTGGTTCGGGTCGTGGTGTTGTTACATATCTGTACATGGCTTAAGGTGTTTTGAGGGGAAATGAACATAGCAGAAGTATAATTAGTATATTTGAAAGGTTTTGAATCACAACATCCTATATCTTCAAAGTCAAATATCACACTACTATTTAATTGGTTCCAAAACTTTAACCAACGTAAAGACGCCTCACATTAACCCTAATTAATACTCTGTATCCCGAATATTAAGATATTTTACTATGTCTAAAATTCAAATACTCGTACACAGATTGTTACAAAATGTTGCCAGGAGGGTCAGATTCATCACGCAAAAATATAAAAAAGTTTTCATAAAAACAAATTTCCGGAAATTTCCAGCTTCAATAATACACACATGTCTTTTGAAAAAAATGTACGCTACGGGTTTTTGCTAAAACTTTTTCGACTTCATCTGTAGGTATTTGATTTAGACATTTTCAAAATAATTTTCAGCCCTCGAGGACACTGATAACCTCCCTCCAATTCGAACAAGACGGTGACGTGATAACTGCGGACAGCGACGGTTTCGTGACGGTGTACAGCGTCGATGCAGATGGCGCTTATTTCGTGCGCACTGAATACGAAGCCCACAATAAAGGCGTTGGGGCACTGCTCATGCTAGGCGAAGGCACCCTTCTCACGGGAGGTGAGAAGGATAGAAGGATAGCTGCCTGGGATAGTCTACAGAATTATAAAAAGATAACTGATACTAAGGTAAGTCAATGGAAATACTATATATCGCTGTATATAGGGATTCATCAAGTAGATACTCTCATTAGCTACTTGACAGTAAAATTACTTACATTAATGCTTGATTTGCCTTGGGGTCAAGCATTTTCAAACTACTTCATACTTGATGGCAAATTATATTTTGTTCTACAAAATTTGAAGATAAAATTCGCAACATTGCGCGTTTGCAGAAAAACACTGGCGTACTATTTTTATTTGTAAAAATAATGCCACTAATCCCATGTATATTCGCCACTGGTGTACGTTACTTTTAATAAACGACTTTTAAATGTGGATAATACTTGGGTAGATTCACATACCAAATTTTAGTTAATTCCAGTTGAGGGTTTTGAAGATATTAAAAAATGTTTTTTATTTTTAAGCTTCAACTCCCCGTATATTTTTAATGAAGCCATCGAGAAAAAAATGTTAGATAGAAGACTCCCCTTAAAATGCGGTACTGTGTATGATGCTTCATTTTTGGTCACGACTTGTGAATCACTCTGTATATGTATGTTGTGTATCAGGCACAACACAACAAGTTACAATAGCTGTAAATAGTCAATACCAAGTTATTGGAGTTCTAATGTCGTTTGTCTGATAGTCTTTACATGAATGTTCAAACGATCTATTTGAAGCAAAAAAAAAATCCTATGAAGCAGCGAATGAATTTGTTCACAATTTGATATTTTCATTATTTTTTATGTCCAGCAAACTGTATCTCGATATGTTTCAGCTTCCTGATATATTTGGTGGTGTCAGGTCAATCTATCCCCAAAGACCAGGAAGAAATGATGGCAACATTTACGTAGGAACTACCAGAAACAACATACTGGAAGGTTCTCTTCAAAGGAGATTCAACCAAGTACGTAACTTACCACTTACTTTTGCTTAAAATTAAACAAACAGGTAAATGAAAGAGAGCCTGAATGAAAAAAAGTATACACAGTTAGAACAGGCAAATATCTCAAAAAATCGCATACACAAATATTTCTTGACAAGAACGTGATTTGTAAACGTAGGGGTAAGCCGTAAACTCATTCAAAGAGGTATATATTATCGAAGTCATTCTTATTCTGGGACTTCGATTAATATGAGCGATAGCATGACAAAATAACCCAAGTTTTGCTTATATATTTTATTGCTCTCGTTAAGATAACAATCGCAATGTTCAATGAACATGAATGCCACTTTACTTCCTTGTAATTGAAATGAATTGCAAAGTGCAAAGCTTCACTAGCCGATATTTCGACATGGAAACGATTTTAAAGACAGAACTACCATGGATTTGAAAAAGTGTATATTTTATGTAATGTCCGCTTTTAACATTTTGTAACATAAATATCTTTGTTAAAATAAATGCAGACGTGCGAGACTCACTCATATCAAGAAGTGTTGAGAGGGGGATACACCAGAGACGTTAGCGAATTCGAGTCTGCATTGAAACAAGTCGAAAGACCTCATTTCAGGCAGGTGTGAATCAACAACTCAAAACATCCTAAAAATGCTCAGTAATAGCTGTTACCCTCCACATGACATGCCATGTATTCGCCACTGCTGTTTTTCCAGCGTGCTACTTTATATAAGGATGTACGGTGGAAGCTGACTTTTTAATGGACCAATTTTCTATAAATTGTGATTGTGTCACAACATCAAAAAGGCCTTGAATATAAAACACTTTATCGTTTAACCTTTTCGTGATAATTATAAAATTACACTACAGTATATTCAGATAAGAGATAGACCGGACATAAACAAGACCACGTGATCATCGAACGCTGTAACATTCGGCAGGGACGTATTAAGAGTCACGCAGTACATATTTTAGATAGTAGATGCTGCTTTGCGTAACTTTGTAGTAAATTAGCACAATTCGATGTGTATACGATTGGTGATGGATATAGGATCATGTGGGGGTGGGGTAAGAAATATATAATGATGTAAATATGCATAAGGGCTTCAAAATTTTCGCTTCGATTTCCAGCTTCGGATGCCGTCTGATGTTTGGTGAAATACAGTCGAATATAATCTCAAAATGGCGTTTAAATTAGCCTATAATTATAACAAGGTATAACAATAACAACGACAAACTCAACAACTTAATAAGATAACAAACGAAAACGTCCAAAGAAATATCAAATTGCAATGATGCACACGACATACGTAACACGTCTGAACCTGAATGTGAGTCTGCCTTGATACGACTGCTCTGCCGCTCGGCATAGGCATTTAATTGCGAATTGACCAATGAGGGCTCCTGTTTTACGTCGAGACGGCGGCGTTAGCGTGAAAATCACCCGAACCTTTTGTTTACATCCGGTCTATCTCTTATCTGAATATACTGTAGATACGTTTTTATTTTTTTTTCCTTTATCAACTTTCTCCTATATCCCATTCGTATTCCATTTACGCCTAAACAAAATTGTACAGGTCAGTATTTTCCTCAATGCTCTTGGAATAATCTAGCAAAATGAATCATTATTTTTATAGAAAGAAGTGTACATACTTTTCACAATCCTTTATTTGCTGGACGTACTTGAATCATCGCGCGCATGGTTAATATCAATTATTACAGGTTCGATTTAATATCGATCATATTGTCCAGATCCCATATCTTTGTTTAGATTGTCGCTTGAACGTGACGAATGCAATATTTCTAATGGTTTGCCGTCATTCTGTTGACAGCTTGATAAAACAAATTTTTCACGTCAGAAAAGTTGAATGTTCTATTGCTTGAAGCCATATAGTTTTTTATATACTAAGTGACATATACATCCGAACACCCAGTTTAAATGGTTTTATTTTAATAAAATTTTGTATAAGTACTTAATGAAGCATAATAAGTAAATGATAAAAATGTCAAAATGATTGCACTGCTTTAAAGCCCTTTGACCTTTAATAATGTGTGGATGCACCCTGATGTGCTACGCATTCTCCAACGCGCCTCGGCATGCTTCTGATCAGGTGGTCAATGTCCTCCTGTGGTATCTCATTCCAGGCAACCACCAACTCCTCTCGAAGTGCTTCTAGAGTCTGAGGAGGACGTTGAAAATTGAGCAATCTCCTACCCATCATATCCCACACGTGCTCAATTGGGGATAAGTCGGAAGATCTTGGTGGCCATGGTAACAATGTGACATCATTATGTTGAAAGAAGTCTATTGTGACTCTTGCAACATGTGGTCGGGCATTATTTTGTTGGAAAGTTGGGTCTGCCAGGGTGTCAAGATAGGGAAAAGATGGGATATAACGATGCGCGTTCATGTTACCTCTGATGAAGATTAAAGGTGACCTGGAACCATAAGCTATAGCACCCCAAACCATAACTCCAACAGTGTGATGAACATGTCTTTCAACAAAAAACTGTGGATTCCTCTTTTCACCACGTCGCCTTCTAACCCTGGCACGACCATCGTGCATGCCTAAACAAAATCGAGACTAGTCACTAAAGACATGTTCCATTCCTGATCCCAGAGTGACCGTTGTCTGCACCACTCAAGGCGATTACGTCGGTGTTCTCGAGTTAAAGGGAGGACCCAGTGTGGCCGGTATGAAAACAAGCGAAAACTTCTCATTCGTCGGTAAACACTTCGCATGCCAATAGGTCTTCCGTGTTCTGCAAACCATTCATTTGCAATGGACCTGGTAGTGGAGAAACGGTCCCTTAAGGCCAATAATCTTAGGCGGCGATCTTCACGGTCTGTTGTTCTACGGCGGCGTCCAGTGCCCCTTGCTCTTTGCCTACGGCCTTCTCGAAGCCATGCCTGACAACACCTAACCACAGTGTTTAAACTTCTTTGCACTCTAACTGCAATTGCCCGAAAAGGAAGTCCAGCTTCCCGAAGTCCCACTATACGGCCCCTATCAAACTCACTAAGCTGACGAAATCGTACAGGTCTCCGTACTCTAGGCATCGTAACCGATCGTAAAGGATGTCAAGAACCAAAATCCGCCAACGTTGATTCTTTACTGCGGCTGAAATATTCATTTTTAGAGCGTTAGTGAATTAAAAAAAAGCAGTATAAAAACCGGAATGTCCACTGATAAGGCTGGAAATTTTTTCACTTGTTATTTACAGTAAGATAAATACATTCACCAACTTTTATTAAAATAAAACCATTTAAACTGGGTGTTCGGATTTATATGTCACTTAGTATATTTGCCAAAATCGTTTCAATGTGATTTAATTCGCAGTGATAAGGGGGTAGCCTTAAAATGGTCTTATTTTGGTTTTTAGCCATTTCGTCAATAAAATTAAGATTACATTTATATTTGTGCTGCCTGACTAGATGGACAAGTTCTGCTTTGACCATATTTTCATTGAAACTAATGTCTTTTTATAGGAGTCGTTGTTGAATTTCTGCCTTTCTTTTGAGCATGGGAATTTTTTCTAGTTTTTTAGTGTCGTATGCAGCATTATCAAGTACAATGACAGCATTGTCGTCAAGCTTTGGGAGCGTTTCTTCAAACCATGGTCCAAATGGACTCCCGTCCATTTCTTCATGGTAGTCGGTCGTTTTCTTTGACTCAAATGGCCACAGAGCCATGGACACAAAGCCATCTTCACTGCCAATGTAATAGCAAACCGTTTTCCTTTTCCTGGAAATAATTATTTCATAGAGTTTTCGCGCTGCATCTTTGTTGTGTCTGGGCGTAAATGGACTACGAATAGGGTATAGCGGGAACTATATCCAGCGAGTTAACATGAGGCTTTGCCGAAATAAATCGTACATCCTTACATTGGTAACCCATTCCACTTCAAAGCTCGAAAACCATATCAGGTCGTACTATTCATTATCTCGTGTTTTTTTTGTCATTCAAGAAGTCATTAGCATTTCAAAAGTGCTGTCGGCAAGCTACCACAATGATGCATAAATGAACGTACATGTTGCCTAACCTCATGAATTGCAGAAATGGCTAATTCACGCTTTATATGTTGTGAATCTGCGTCACAAAAATGAATGCCTACACGCTAGATCGTTCTTTACTCGTTATTATCTCCTGAGTCTCAAACTTTGTTTCTGAACTAGCCCAGTAAATAAATACTTTTGACGTGACAGAAATTCTATTATGGATAAAAATTTGCATTCATGAGGAGCAATTTCGGATTCTACCATAGGCAGGAACTGAAACATTTTTGAAAAACTTTTAGATTTTTTGTTACGATCCTTTAACTATTATATATAGAAAAAAGTTATTACGACAGTTATGTAGCTTACTAAATAAGCTGCAAAGGTTTGTGAGAGATTTTTGAGGCATCTGATTGATAAAATAGTTTTTTGAGCCGTTTACCAGACTCCACTAACACTGGACAACAAAGTTTAGTTTTTTAATTGTATCTTGTGGGAAAAATCTTTTTATTTTTAAGGATATATTAAAAAAAGTAACAAGATTCATATACTTATAAGAATCACTATATGCGCTGTCTTTTTGCTGTTCTTTTATGGATCGTTTCTGGAGCATCTCTACCAAGAGTCCAACAGTAGTCTGCAAGCATGGAAGGATTCCACTTTCCCTGGTACCTTTTTTCCATTGTTGAAATATCCTGATGAAAACGTTCGCCGTGCTCATCACTTACGGCTCCGCAATTGTCAGGAAAAAAGTCCAGGTGTGAGTGTAGGAAATGTATCTTAAGAGACATATTACAGCCCATCTTTTGATACGATGACAGCATATTTTTGACAAGGGTTTTATAGGTGTCAGCTTTTCTATTTCCCAAGAAATTAGTGACCACCAGACGGAAATCATTCCAAGCAGCTTTTTCAATACCTGTTAAAGTGTTTTCAAACTGTGTATCTTTCAAAATATTTCGAATCTGTGGCCCAACAAAAATACCTTCTTTAACCTTTGCCTCACTTAGTCTTGGAAATTTCTGACGCAGGTATTGAAAAGCTGACCCATCTCTATCTAATGCCTTGACAAAGTTTTTCATTAGGCCCAACTTGATATGCAGTGGTGGTAATAAAATTTTTTTCGAATCTACTAATGGCATATGCTGTACATTTTTTTGACCTGGCTCTAGGAATTGACGAACAGGCCAGTTTTGTCTGGTGTAATGAAGTGCCTTTGCCCGACTGTCCCATTCACACAAAAAACAGCAAAACTTTGTGTAGCCTAGCTGCAGCCCAAGTAAAAGTGCAACAACTTTCAAGTCGCCACAAATATGCCATTGGTGCTCATCGTATTTTATGCATGTCAATAGGTACTTCATATTGTCATATGATTCTTTCATGTGAACTGCATACCCTACAGGAATAGATGGTAAAATATTTCCAATATGCAATAACACTGCCTTTAAACTCAATGTTGAACTGTCTATAAACAATCTCCATTCTTCTGGGTTATAGTTTATATTTAAAGCCGCCAGTAAGCCGTTGATGTAACTGCAGAAAACCAAGTTATTGTCCATATTGAAAAATGGTTCTAAGTCTTTGTGGCGTTTACGAAAAACACATACCGAAACATCGTCTTCTAACAAGTTCCACTGCTGCAGTCTTGATCCAAGTAACTCTGCCTTACATTTTGGAAGTTCTAAATCTCTTACAAGATCATTTAATTCTGACTGTGTTATTTTGTGCGGTTGGTGGCATGACGTGCTCGGTATAAAATCAGGATCTCTTGACGTTGATAGCATATCTTCTTCCTGACGAATCACTCGATCGCCATGATCTGATTTGTTTTCTGTTTCGCAAGTGTAGGATTCTGGGGGTTTTGGAATAGGATTTTCGTCACTGTGAGGCACAGGTCTCATCGCAGATGGTATGTTTGGGTAGTTAATAACCGATTTTTTTTTCTTGGACATACCTGTGGCTTGTCCAACACAAGGTACCATGCAAAAGTAACAATCATTAATATGATTTGTAGGCTCTCTCCAAACCATTGGGACAGCAAAGCGCATAGACCGTTTTTTGCCATTTAACCAGCTCCTCAGACTTGAAGCACATGTATTACAGCAGATGTGGGGTGCCCACTGTTTGTCTTGATCACCTAGTTTACAACCGAAATAAAGCTGATATGCCTTTGTTATTAGTGGAGTAATAGACCGTCTCTGAGACGCAAAAGTCACATCACTACACACGTAACAAAACTGATCTGGATTGTTTACACACTTTCGAGACATCTTGCATGAACGCTGTCAGCCAACTGAGGAAAAAATGGCTAATATAAAACAATATAATGTACACGTATGTATAACGTAACACAATCATGCCGATTACATCATCTTTCGCCGAATATAAAAATGTAGCACGTGCATTCTTGTGAATTACAGTATATTAACACTGTCACAGCAGGAACACATATAATTACCGTATCTCTAAAACTTGAACTAATATTGAAAAAATAAGTTTCATTCCAGTTTTAGCACATTAAAAATAGTAATATTTTGTTGATTTTATTTAGGATATTTTTTGGCTGTTGATCAGTGAATTAATGAAGGTTACAAAATTTCAACGTGAATTGTTCCAAAAAATTTATGTGGTGGAAGAAATGTATTTCAAAGTGAGCAAAAAATTTGTTTGGGTTTTAGTGATATTTTAAGCCATACATCTTTTTTAAGCGGGAACCTCTTGTAAGTTTTTGTTTTCCATTTGTCAAAGAATAATTGTACCGGAGAGCAAAAGTATCTACTTCATATAAAGGAAAATATAGCAAAACAGGGTTAGACTTTTTTTTGTAATTATTTTCAAGCAAATTTTCTTGGTATTATTTAACCATAACATCAGGATTTGAAAGTATACTTCATTGAAGGGGTACAAAACAGGTTTTCTTTACACGTTATAAATATTATTTAGGTAAATATAAATATTATTTAAGCAATACATTTCATGGACAAGTACAAAGATTGGCAATATTTTTGTAAAAACCGCAAAATTTAATAATTTGAGAATATACTTGACAATAGTTTCTGAAAGTGTTGTGTCTACTCAGCTTGTATGTGTGGCACAGGTAAAAATATAAAGAATTCCCAAATACGCAGAAAAAAGATGCAGTTCGGAATCAAAAACGATACCGTCGATAATGAACCCCGAAATATAATTACCGATTTTTTTAAAAGCTAGCAGATATTTTGGTGTAGTGGTAAGAACATCCACCTTATAGACTGAAGCCAAGTATTTGATTTAACGTGGCGTTAATAGCATTTTAAGCGATACTAAATTGCCCTGAAATGAGATTTCCAAGAAAATAATGTTATGCCAAAATTATCGCCAAACCCCTCCCCCCCAAATTGAGGCACAAAAACCGGAATCCTTAGGCACCCGATCAAATAATTTCAAATGACCGTAACAACATTTGTCTGGTGAGCTCTGCAAATTAAGTGATGAGTCTGGCAACGTAGAGTTCAATCTGGCAACACTGGAAAAAATCGGTCTCATCGCTCAATGTACCATACCTTGTATTATACCTAAAAACAACTTTTGTAGTTTATGCGTGAAGCTACAAAACTGTTTTAACAACTTTTCTTTATATAATTATGTATGTATATTATTTATAGGACCATCACAAATCAAAGATTCAAAGCTTTTTCTAAGAGTTTATAGTACCTGCCTACCGCAGAATCCCTAACTTTTCGTTATGAACTACTTCAGTTACCTAAATCCAAATTTTCATCCATTATATAATTTTTGCAAGGTTTTGAGAGAATTTTTTGTTTCTCTACCGTGCTAAATGTCATGATCAGTCCGAATTTGGAATTTTTTATTTTTATGTTTAATATTTTCTTACGGACAGTTCAGCTCACTCAATGAGAGCTGAATAATTGGGAAATATTTGTATCAATATTAATCTGAAGGTCTACTAGTATTTGAAATTCTAGAAAACTCTAAATTAATGACGAAAATTATGTCTGTTAAGTGGTTCATCCCAGGATCTCCTGATCCATTCCAGTTTCCATTAGTTCTCAGAAAGCTTGCGTAAGGTCAACCAACTCGATGTTTTCAGGTGGTGTTCGGGCATGGAAGACAGCTTTGGGGCTTGGCTGTTCATCCCGATGACGAAATTTTCGCCACAGCTGGACACGATAAAAATATTGCTCTTTGGAGAAAGAATAAACTTATATGGGTCACTCAAGTAAGTATTTATCTCCTTAGTAACTTCCGAATTGAGTATATCATTTTATTTGTTCTAGGTTTCATTTGAATGTATCGCGCTAAGCTTCCATCCATTTGGAGTAGCCTTGGCTGTGGGCAGTACAGAAGGACATCTCATAATCATCAATTCTGAAACTGGCGTGGTCGTGAATACGATCAGAGTCTGTGGATCACCACTGAATTGTGTGGGCTTCAATCCATGTAAGTATAACATTTAAACGAATGCAATTTAGTATTGAAACCTATTCCAATATCTCTGAAAGGAAGTAACCAAATATCCCCGATCAGTTTTCAAAATCGTATAACTTTCTAGCCTAGTTATTACCGCAACTACACAATATGTGTATCTAATAATGTTGTAAGCGTTTCATGAGAGCCAGTTCATTTTTTAACCCAACGTTTGATCCAGGTCGTATCTTCGTATCAGCTAAATATTTTAGAATAAAATCTTATCCGAAAATAAAAAAATTCCAATTATTACAAGGTCAAAAAATTGTTTTTTGCTACCGTTAAAGTGTTTTTGCGTTTTAAGGGCATAAAAAGAGCATAAAAACTACAAAACATTTTCGTCCTTGCCATTGTAGTAACCTTCTGTGAAAATTACATCAAAGTAAGACCGGTACCTATCAAGTTATAGACCGAAAGACCGACGAAAACTTTCTAAATTTTTCGCGATTACAATACTTCCTAGCCCAGTGTCGTACAACAGCTGCAGTGTGAGCAAAATTTTCTTTTTGCTGTATGACAGTATAACCATTGTAAAATACGGTACGATGTTCTTCGTTGCAACGTCAGCAACATTTCTTAGTCGTAAAAGCAAATACAATAAATTAATACTAAAGATAGATTCTAGCTGCAAGGACATTGCAAAGTTACTTACCAGAAGTTTCAGGCATTGAAGTATGGAGGTACGATCGTGAAAATGATAAATGCTCGCAATGAAGGAACAATATGTATAACTTGTTAAATTCACTCAACTTTAGCACAAAATAAGCATAAAATGAACGACCGTGCGATGTTTTGACCAGTAATATTTTTTTCGTGCAAGAATATTGTAAGGTGTAATTGATTAGATGTAACAGAACCGTGTGGTATTTTATAATATCAGAATTGAGTTTCTTTTAAACAATAACGATCTTTACCATGATATTACCATCATTTTTCTAATGTTAGTCTAATCATATTAGACGAAAATACCCCTGATTTGCGAAATAATTGTAAAGTCTAGTTTTATTGCTGCAAGTTGTCCAAGGAGGTTTTTAAAATATGGACGCATAAAATGGGTACACCAGTTTTTGTGGGAAAACCTTTTATTCGACAACGAAGAATGAGAAAACGTGTTTTTTAGGATTCAATCGAAAGTGTTGGCAGGAACGAAAATACTCTTCACATAACATTCATAGGTATTTATAACACCTACAAAATGAGACCACACGTAAAAAGATCCGACTAATAGCAAAAAAGTTATTACCGAAAACAGAGGCAAACTACAGGTTTTAGCATTTGTTGGTAATGCGACAATGGTTTCTCGCAGATACTTGAAATTCTTCAAATTAGTAGGATTCGTACTTCTAAATAACCACAACAAAAATGGAGTAGATTGGTCAAGTAGCTTTGAGAATTCCTAATTGTTTATCCCAAAACACCTGTTTTCCGGCCATCGTCACTAGTTTATTGAGCAATATACAGGCCATTCCGGAAGATAAATGTTATTTTTATACAGAAAAGGATGGGTTACGTTTTTTCTTCTAAACAAATTCAAACATTTTGTATTTGTGAGTAATTCACAACAAAAGGTGATAGACATCTGCTTTGTTTTAAAAGGTGTATAATATGTTTTTTTAATATCGTAGCGCATTTGTTCAATTACTCACAAAAAGAAATGTTTAAATTTGTTTGGAAGAAAAAAAACGCAACCTTTGTTTTTCGCATAAAAATAACATTTATCTTTAGAAATGGTTTATTATTCATAAGTCAAGGTAAACACGTGTATTTGGCTATTAAATGGTCTTTTAACGAATCCTGTAGTTGCTGAATAAACTAGTAGTGATGGCCGGTAAACAGGTATTTTGGGATTAACAATTAGAAATTCTCAAAAAACCACTTGACCAATATACTACAATTTTTGGTCGTTATTTCGAAGTATGAATCCTACGAATTTGAAAAATTTCAAGTAGCTGCGTGAAATTATCGTAGCATTATCAACAAATGCCAAAACATGCATTTTCCCTCGTTTTTCGGCCATAACATTTTTGCTATTAGTCGGACCTTTTTACGTGTGATCTCATTTTATAGATCTCATAAATACCTAAGAATCTTGTATGAAGAGTTTCTGTCTTCCTGCCAACACTTTCGAATCAATCCTAAAAAACACATTTTCTCATTCTTTGTTGCTAAATAAAAAGGTTTCCCAGTACCCTTTTTATGCGTCCATGTTTTAAATATCCCCTTGAACAACTTGCACCAATAAAACCAGACTTCACAATTTTTTTTGGGAAATTTGCTAATATGATTAGACTATGTATTATTATTTAAACCGCAATTTTTCTTGAACTAACAAAATGCAAATATTTTATAACATGAACTGAAAGTACAAATACAATTTATCTAAAACCGCTGAAAAAGAGAAAATCCTCAAAACGTCAGTTACAATGTTATTGGATCGAAATGTCGTCTAGACTGACATAAATGAGTTTTACTGAGGTTGATAATTCGCTCTGTGACCATTAATGAGTTTATATTTCGGCATTTTCAGCTGGAGAGCTAATAGCGATAGCCTCCCAGAATGGCAGTATTTACTTATTCAGAGTGAGCAGAGATGGATTTTCTTATAAAAAGTCGAACAAAATCAGAGGATCTCAACCGTTGATGCAGATGGATTGGAGCACTGACAGTAATTTTATGCAAACAGTTACTGCTGACTACGACCTTTCATTCTGTGAGTATAGTCAGCTTTATTACCTAATCTATTTTTCTAGCATGCAATATAAAGTTTGCTACCCAAAACTTTGGGAAATAATTTGAGAGCATACTATTTAAACCACTCTACGACTATTTCGTGTTTACACGATTTCCGATGCACTGGTTGCTCGTACAGGTATAGGAAAAGCAACATTTTCAAACAGAGTTTCCAGCTACGAATATCTCACTTTGTTATATGACCTTCTAGAAGAAACAATTATATATAGAAGTAATAGGGTCTATATGAGGTTTTTTATATATTTTTTTGTCTCAGAAAAGTGCCATCGAATAGTTGTATTTTTGAAGGTATATTTTCTTTTTTTTAACCAAATATGTGCCGTAAACTCTATTACCAGCCTCATGTAATTCAAATACATGCTATCTCTTTGGTAGTTCAAATGGGTCATCCACTAGCCCAAACCAATCATTCGTGGATTTTCTAGAGCCCAGTGATGAAAGTTATGATTGTCATAAATTTCTGTTCTTTGAAAATAAGCTTCAGATTAGGTAATGCTGCACTGTTTCAGTAACGCACAAATAATGCCAAGGCCGTCATCGCTTGAAATGATACGACCTAGAATTCATTCGGGTTTGAAGATTTATTGTCATTTAGGTGTTTGCACACCCTATTTGGAAGAAACACATTTTGTCTACTTTGCGCAGAAGCTATTTCGGATGTTTAATTATCCAATCTTCATCACTAGGAACACTTTATCCACCTATTAATTTTTTGTACTTGAATATGCTGTAATCTGTTTGACAACAGACAAAATAGCAGATTAGCCGTAGCTGTACCTACATTAACTGGACTTAATTTTCAGCCATAGCTTTTTTCTAGCTACACATCATTTGGGAACATATCCTGTAAATCTGATTGAAAAATAACAATAGAAAACTTAAAAAAAAAATAGTACAGTCCCAAAAGTAGCGATGTTCTACAAATTCTTAAGAATGGCGATGTCTTAAAAACAGTCCACAATCGGATTAGGACATGTATGGTTTTTCTGATTGCAATTGGACCTCCCTACCACCCCCTTTCGTTTGCTTTATAACTTTTGAGACACCCTGTATATTGCCATTGTTACTTCTCCTGGCTTTTAAACTCATAACTTAATGCACACATAAGCCACATATTCAGGCATTTCTTTTTTTTACTTTAGGGGATGTGAAGTCTCTGTCTCCAGAAAAAAGCCCAATTGCGATGAAAGATGTGAAATGGTACACTCACAATTCAACTGTTGGGTTTATGGTAGCAGGTGAGGACGAAGCTTATGTACAATGCATCTTCAATCAAATATTGCTTTCACTTATAGGTATTTGGAATAATAGATTTTATCCCATGACGTCAATTATTAGTACTGCCAGCAGATCCGCAGCTCACGATCTCCTTATTACTGGAGATACTGATGGATATCTAAGATTATTCAGGTGAGCGAACGTTTTGAAACAAGCGAGTTGTTGAACAATCAGAACATAAAACCATAAACTTCCAGACTTGGTCTGCCTATCTGTATTTTTGTCACCACTTCTAAAGCCTCAGAAGCAATAATTATGCTAAAAGGTAGAGTAAGTCGTTATTCTTAAAACCGGTGGTGCACTGGGGGTGGGTTATAAATTTTTTGTTAATTCGTAATTTCAAGAAATTACATTTTTTTAAATTCAAGCAATGGTACGCAGCAAAATTATACAAAGTAGTGACAAATCAAACATCTTGGAGTGAAGGGCAATTTGCGTTTATGGATTGAAGGCTTCTTGTCAGGAAGAACACCACTCGTCCGTGTCGAAGAAAGCCACATCTTTATCCTGTTATTAGTGGAGTACCGCGAGGATCTGTGCTAGGGCTGATACACTTTCTCTTATATACAACTTTCCTCAATGTGTTCCGCCCGTGCAAATGGCACTAGAGTCTACATTACGACCACGAACACTGCTGTACTTCAGGAAGACGTCGAACGTATTGGAAAGTGGCTCCTCACTCTGAATCTCTCGAAATGCTACATTCTCCACCTTGACAAAAACAATCCTAAGTTTAAGTAGGAGATTGGCGACCATACTATCAAGGCTTGGTCTGATAATTAATGACCGTCTGATCAGAACATCACTTCGGCTGCTGCATATTAAGGACAGATTCTTCAGCGGTTGCACTGTTTGTAGCTGGTCCTTCTTCGTACGACCCCTGTTGGAATTTACTGGTCCAGTATGACTTATGACAAACCGTTTTGAGCTCATTGAGCTGTCTACTTTTGATGCCAAAAGAATGCTAGGTGATCTTATCATCACTTTCGGAGCACTGCATAATTTGTTTGGTGTTGACATGTCGTCAGAGCTCAAACTTCAATTTGTAGAAAACACCTCTTCGAACTTCTACCCATCAACGCTCTCTATCCAACCGAATTTTCGAAACATACAACATTCTTCCTTTTTATGTACATAGTAAAGTCGACAACCGTGAACAATTTCAACAACAATTATTATAGACACCGTAGTGCGTAACATATTGTGTTCCTTTTCTATGTGTCTCCTAGTGAAGTTTTACCATTCTCCACTGGTGTATTGCATTTGTCTGTATACTATCAAGTATTATGTGGTTGAGTTTAAGGGCGGTATCGTCAGTCGTTCCTACAATTGTAGGATACCTTTATGGCCTCCCCTATCAAGATCATTTTAAAATGTAGCTGTTCTGCCACATGTAAACCAACAAACTGAAAAACTACAATTTCAGCAGGTCTAAAATTTGAATAATCCTCTTTATAGTGTGTTTAACAAATTTTTGATTTTGTAGGTATCCATGTCTAACCCCCAAAGCAGAATACAATGAAGAAAAAGTATACAGCGGCACAGTGGCGTGCGCGCGTTTTTTGTTCAATGATCGTAACGTGGTGACCGTTGGTGGAACAGACGCTTCGCTGATGCTTTGGCAGCTGACGGAGGAATAGCGGCGGCCCACGACAGCCAGCGGGTAAGACTCTCCAATATAAATTAGCCATCTCTTAATTCTACAAACCGGACATATAGCCAGTCGCCACGTCGTGTGGGAGAGCACTGACGGATTGCATGTGTCCAAAGTTTGCCACGTGGCAGGTTCCAGCTCCTTTCGGTCAATTTGACCCGCGTCAAAGGACGTTACAACGTCGGAAGCATGGTTCGTTACGTTCCCACACGCGATGCCATGTGTTTGATGGTTTTAGGTTAGAACCAGTAGCTGCGAAAAATATTATTTACTTGTTTTGCTGTGATTGTAGTGAAGTAATGGTATGTGGGAAGTATTTTGATTTGAATACCTACCTCTTCATAATAATGTATGTTCCTTAACTAACTTTTGAGGAGAATGGATTTAATCAGTATACACACAAACCATAGGCTGCCATAACAACGCTTTTTTCATATTGCTAATATTTTGTACGTTTCGCAGGTGAGTTATGGCTGGTTGGTATTTTAGTAAATTATAAATTATCAAGTGTTTACAATTGTTTCATTATAATGTTCTGTTGCAATGCGAGCAATATATTGACTTCCATTTCATAACTAACGAAAAATATTAAATAAACGATAACTCTGAAAGTACTTTCACGATTTTGATGAAATCTTGACCCTAGGTTACTACAATAAAAATGAAGAAAAAGCTCTGCAGTTTTTGGAAATCGGTACACTGTCGGTGGAGCTATCGTCGAGAAATAAACAAAAAACGGCCAAACTTCGTTTTTCGACATTTTTGAGGCTTCTGGCAGACTTAAGTTTTGGTCGCTGAGGACAGATCTGAAATTATTTTTCGGCGCTCAAAAAAATTGTTTCTTCGTTTATTTTGTATAATCTTTCCTTCAGTTGTAAACGTTCAAACGCGACGAACGTCCAAGACAAAAAAAGTTCATTCCATCGGGTAGGAGACACACTTGCCAATTGTGGGGTGTCGTTGTATACAACGTTGGAAGCATCGTGTGGGTTCCGCATTATAGGATCCACTATAACAGTTTTTAATAAACATCGCGTATTACAGACAACGTTGCAGTGTTGTTGAAAAATATGCTGAACCCGCAAGCGAGACCACTGAACTGTTGGAATTGGCTCCTAACAAATTCTCAAAAAATAAACATAATCAGTGTAACTTAACATCGTTCTGGTTACAAATGCAAAATGTATGTGTAACACAAAGAGTTTTGAACTATATTTTGCCTTTTCAAACTTCATATTTATGTCAAGATGCTTTCACAACACTTGTAGACATTAAGTCAAAAGGAGGAACACATTATTGGACGTAGAACCACGACCTAGGTTAAAGTTACCATCAAATCCAGATGAGTTTGCTGGTCTAAGACCTATAAGTCTATTGCCTTTTTTATCGAAGGCAGTTGAAAAGGCAGCCCACATACAACTAATGTATGCAGAGGAACATATCATTCCATCTAATCAGTCTGCTTTTAGGAAATCTTTCAGTACTACTACTTCCCTCTTGAACTTGGTTGATAATATTATTAGAGCACTTGATAAAAAGATGGGCGTAGCAGTGATGCCAATCGATTACTCCAAGGCATTTGACAAAGTAAATCATGAGTTGTTAATAGCAAAGTTGAAGTATTATGGCATAGATCCAATTGCATTGAACTTTTTTCGAAATTACATATCAAATCGATCGCAGTGTGTATCAATTGATAACAATAAATCTAGTTTTCTAGAAATCTGGTCTGGAGTACCTCAGGGGTCTGTTTGGCATCCCTTGTTGTTTTTGATATATATTGCCGATTTGCCTAAGGCTGTGAGTTTTTGTGAACTCCAGTCTTTTGCGGACAATAGTCAACTGGTCCACTATTTTGATACTGATGATATGGAAATGGCACAGACATCAATGAACCATGATATTCAAAAAGTATATGACTTCTCGAATAACCACAACCTGTCAATAAATCTTGGTAAATCCAGCCTGTTATTTTTTTGTTCGGATCGTAGGGGAGAAGAAGTTAAAAGTCAACTAGCTATTAAAATTCGATCTCAAGAACTGTACCCGGTTGATGAGGTTAAAATTCGTGGCGTGGTAATCGATTTCAAACTTATATTCACCAGTCATGTCAAAAATTTTTTGAATAAAACTTACTTGAGACTGAGATCACTATGTGCCAGTAAAGTAATTTTCAATTCTAAACTAAGGAAAAAACTGGGCTCATCTTTGCTTATGCCGATTTTCAACTACTGTGATATTTTATATTATCCGTGTCTCAATGTTGTTACTAGAAATCGGATTCAAATTGAGCAAAACAATTGTGCTAGGTTCATCTACGTTTTAAGGCGCATTTAACATGTTTCTGGTGGTCTTAGTGAATTAAACTCGATAATAACAAAAAATATTGTCAAACATCATTACCTTGTTTTCATTCATAAACTAATACTTATGTCAAAACCTATATACTTAAGAGAAAAGCTGATCTTTAGGCGTAATATTCATCATAGACATATTAGATTTCCAAATTTGATAACTACACATATTCACTCCACAGCTTTATTCCAGCGTTCTCTCACGTACAGTGCTGCAGAGTTATACAGGGTAGGGCAGAGACGATGGATGGTTTTAAAAAAATCATAAAATAGTTAATTTTTACTGAAAACAAATTTATTGATGGAATCAGGTTCACAAGAAAATAGCATTTGAGACAGTCAAGTGTGGAAAATCACATCAGGCATGTGATGGCCGAAATCTTTGATGCAGTGCTGGAGGCGTTCTTGGAAGTTCGCGTAGACTCTCTCCAACATCGCTCTCTCAACTTGGGCGACTTCCACGCGAATTTCGCACTTCAATTCGTCCAGAGTTCGGGGCCTGTTCGCGTATACTCTAGCCTCGAGGTGTCCCCATAAGAAAAAATCGCATATGGTTAAATCTGGGGACGGAGGAGGCCAATCCTGGAAATAAGGCGACCAGGGAAGAGAGGGTGAATAACGTCCATGAATGCTCGGGCTGTGTGGGCGGTCGCCCCATCCTGCTGGAACCACACACGTCGGATTGGAATACGTCGCCGTCGTAATTCAGGGAGAAAGAAGTTGGTGATCATGTCGACGTAGCGCTCTGAGTGCACGGTAACATCACGACCATTACCGTCTTCGAAGAAGTAAGGGCCAATGATGCAAGTTTGCGATACAGCGCACCAAACCGTTACTTCTGGGCTGTGCAGCGGTCTTTCGTGTAACTATTGCGGATTTTCATTAGCCCAATAACGACAATTCTGCTAGTTAACCATGCTGTTTAGGTAAAAGTGGGCTTCGTCACTCATAAACAAAATGAGGTTCTCATTTTGATCGATCAGTGCTTCCATCTCACGTGCGAAGTTCATTCGTTGTGCATAATCTCCGGGCTGTAACTATTGCACAATGGCCAATTTGTAGGGGTGAAAGCGGAGATCCATATGCAAAATTCGCCTTACCGAACGATCACTAAGGCGAAGTGCAGCAGCATGTTTCCGGGCAGATCGAGTCGGACTGCGAAGAAAGACCTGTCAAACGAGTTCAACATTTTCAGGAGTTCGAACTGTTCGTGGCGCTCATCTTGGTCTTCTGTTGATCAGTTCACCACGCCTGCGAAGTGATTCAACCCAACGAAGGATGGTGTTTCGAGAGGGAATAGCTCTATTCCCATGAATGTTGAATTGGCCACGAAACTCACGCTGTACGACGATGACTGACTCATTATTTCGGATGAAACAATCATAAGCGAAAACGCGGTGCTCCACCGTCCAAGGCTCCATAACGACAACTGGTAAAATAATGCTGGGATCTCACGAGTCAAACGGCACGCTCCCCACCTCTCTCGTAGACGGAGGCGGAGAGTACTACCCATCCCAAAAACGTCCGTCCTCTCTGCCGCACCCTGTACAATGCTTTGAGTCCTGAATTCAAAACCATGTCCTTGAATTGCTTCAAGAAAGCTGACAAATCTCGTATCTGCTTGGACCCATAGTCATGTAGTAAACCTTGGTGCAACATGTATATATGTATGTAATGTATATATGTATGTAATGTATATATATACAGTGAAAGCTCCCATAAGCGGACACTCACGGTTCCGTAACTTTTGTCCGCTTATGGGAGGTGTCCGTTTAAAAGAGAGTATGTAAGTATAAATAACGGGGTATATAATCATGAGGAAATGAGGTATTGTAATCATGAGAAAAATGAAACAGAAACTCGCCACATTTTTAAAGTATGTATTTATGCTATATATCTATATAATATATGTACATATACGCATACAAAAACATAAATGCTTCAATACATGGTACGAGAATTTAAAAAAAACATTATTCTTTAGCTTGGTGAAAAAAGTTTTAAATGTTTGTCTGACGAAATTTCACCATCTTTTGCTGAAGGAGACAATTTTCGTAATAACTTTCTAAATTTTTCAAATGTTGAAATGCAGTGAAATCATCTTTAGCAAATTTTTTCAATATAGAAATATGATTTAGAGCTTCCCCATATGAATTTATCGTTTTTGAACCGCTTAGTGAGTCCACCAGTTCCACTTCTTCTTCTGAGTCGTTTGGACTACCATATTCAAGTTGGCCTGGGCTTTCTACATCCAAATTCGAAAAGTTGCCAATGGCATTTTCTTCTGTTGTTATGTTATTGTCTATGGCCAGGAAATCATCTACTTTCTGGGGATCTGCTACTCCTAAATGTTTGGCATGTCGCAGTAACTGAGCAAGTGTCGCTAAGGGCAGATCGTCTTCAGCATCGCAATAATTTTGCTCAGCAAATTCTGAGCTACATTCACTTTTTCTGAATCCAGCTTTGCCAAAACAGTTTTTAATTGTAGAGGAATTTACTTTATTCCATGCTGTTTTTATAAAATACAAAGCTTCTAACACATTGATAGACTTTGGAAGCTCAGATAAGCTTTGACCATCGTCAATTTTTGTTAAAATATGTTTTAAAATCAAGTGCCGATAATAAAATTTAAAGTTCTGTATGACACCTTGATCCATGGGCTGACAAACAGAAGTTGTGTTTGGCGGTAAAAATATAATTTTCACATTGCATTGTCTAAAAATAAAAGAACTTGCCTTTTTTGGATTCTCATTTTCCGGTCGAATTCGACTAACCACTCAGACATGATTTCTCGGGTCATCCATGCCTTTTTGTTGGATTTCCAAGTCGCTGGTAGCACCTTAATAGCAACGTTTTTTAAAGCACGGGGACGAGCCGCTTTCCCGATCACAATCAAATCGCATTTTTCACCGGCCATATTTGCACAGAATAAAATGGTTAGTCTATCTTTAGACAACTTTCCACCCACACATGTTTCTCCTTTAAAGGACAGAGTTTTGTAGGGCAATGCGCGAAAAAAAAGTCCACTCTCATCTGCGTTGTACACATCTTCTGGTTTGTAGCCAAACAACATGGACGGAAGTTTCTCCAAAAATTGTGACACATCAACTTGATCTACTGCAGCAGCTTCGCCAGATATGCATTTGAAACTCACACTATGTCTCTTGCGCCACTTTTGCAGCCACCCGTCGGACGCACTGAAATTATTACAGCCCAAAGTAGTGGCGATTTCTTTAGCTTTCATTTTCACTAACGGCCCTGAGATTGGAATGTTCTGACTTCTAGCTTTCACAAACCACTCAAAACATGTTTTGTCTATAGCAAAACCTTCCTTTTTTAAAAAATCCTTCTTTTGATTTATATTAGTTCCTGATTGCCATTTACTCCTGATATCTTCCTTATTTTTGGCAATTTCAGCTGCTTGCGTTTTCCCAATATTAAACCTCTTTGCCAAATGACGAACTGAAACACTTTCTCTGTCTAATACGTTAACAACTTCCATCTTTTCCTTTAACGAGAGCATCCTTTTTTTTGGTGCCATTTTACAGTTACAATAATAAAATACGTAACTCAATCAACTACGAATTTGCCTGAACTGAAGACAAGCCACAAGATTACATACAGGCTACCCAACGAAATGCGTAAATGGGGAATCACCTAATATAAATCGGGGATTACCGAATTTTATGTATGTAGATATGTGCATTGCAATAAGCGGAACTAAAAAATCGTCCGGGTATTAGAGTTTCGCGTCCGCTTATGGGAGATTTTTTGATCACATACAGGAAAATCTAGTGTCCGCGTCCGTTTATAAGAGCGTCCGTTTATCGGAATGCATTTAACATTGAAAATTGATGGCTGAAATTCGGTTCCAGGAACTTTGTCCGGTTAAAAGAGATGTCCGCTTATAGGAGCTGTCCGCAAGGAGAGCTTTCACTGTATATATATATATATATATATGTAATGTATATATATATATATTTGTCTGATATCTGCTACTTAACAACTTGTTTTTTTTTGCATGGGTGGTTGAGTGTAAGAGTATGCAACTCTTCTTCCTCTGTATGAAATTGTACTGTTTAAATAAAGACGATTATTATTATTAAATTATGATGGTCTGATCTCATCCCTGCACAAACAATTCCATGCTTCGCATTAGTCAAAACAAATTTTATTAATAATGTTTTGTCATGAATATATTTTATTTTTCATTTGATATTTTGATTATGTAAAATCACTTTTATGTTTTCCTTACCTTATTTGAGATGGGATTTTAAAATAAATTGCACGTTGTCATTGTTACTTATTCTCCCCTACAAGATGGCTTAGTCAAATTTTCAATTCGACATTTCTTCTTTCGACTTCCATCAAATTTGTTTTTTCATATGAAATTTTGTACATTTAAATGTTATTAATGATGTAAATTTTACTTATGTTTTATCATGAATATGTTTTATTTTTCATTCGATATTATTTTGTGTATGTACCATAAACAACATTTACTTACTAAAATAGGAAAATAATGGGCAAAATCCGCAAAAAGCAGGAAAGTGGATTCGAGCAGAAAATAGGATAGGTAACCCGAGCGATACGTATTTCTGCTGGTTGGCTTCATCAGGCCCGATCTCCGCATGATCATTTTCTATTTGTAGATCCTTTGGGCTTGAAGTACCACAGCATGTGGCTATAACCGGCCGCGTGGTTGTGATTAGACTGTCCTTGGAGAATTTACGTGCGATTTTCTCCGCCGAAATGGATGCCGTTTATGACACTGCCAAGAGACTTTCATAGCTGATTGTTATCTGAGATGTGGTCAAATCTTGAGTTATTTTCTTGTATGTTCAGGTACTGCCGTCTGCCCGGCATAGGCGTTCGTCACAAGCACCGTCACAGAGCGTACCATCCACGGTACTATGATTACGACGATTCGGAGGAAGTAGATTCTGACGAAGAAGTGGATAACCTCACATTTGAAGTGCTCAACCTACATTATTGAGTTACTCCATTATTTAATCGGAGCAAGAGGATCTTCCCATTGGTGCAGCCATTTTGGAGGCTGACTACATTGTTTGACAGGTCTTTCCTGGACAATTAAGCTACTGACGAATCTTCTAGGTTCGATAAGGACAACACGTTATTCCTTTGATGAGAAACATATTAGGTCAGGATACCTACGATTCGAGAGAAAAAATTGTAATAAATTATATTACGGAGTCATATTCTTGAAGCTACACGGAGAGGTGCCTGGTCGAGAGATTTAAATTTTTTTGCTGGGTTAACTTTTTTTCATTAAACGTCAAACTTATAAAAAACGCTTATTCGCGTATGGATTATTGGTGTAAGTGGTCCAATAGATTTGTTGGAGGTGAAAATACCGAATAATATATAACACCTTGCTCGGCCAATTTGCCGTAACAGTTAATTTGTTATTACAAAAAAACGTTAGAAATCGTCGATTTCTGCATTTATTTTTTAGTGGAAAATGCGTAACGGTAAATATGAATTAATACCCAAAAGTTGAAGCCTTTGTAGTACTTTTAACATCCAGAAAAAAATGTACCGCGTTATGCATGACTTGACCAAGCGACAAATCTGTTTTTAATTAGGATGGATAAACTTTAACAATTCATTTAATTTCAATTCTGCGATTGTGTGAATAGAAAATGATATTACAAATTTAGATGAGCAATCATTTTTTCAAGAACTCTTATACCTGAAACTTAATGAAATGAAATGGCGCTTGGTCAAGTATTGCTTTCAAACAGAATGCTCATTTTTCCGTGCAAAATAACGAACGCATCACAGAAAGATTGTTTATTTTTGTATTTCAGTAATTAGCATCAAATTCAGTGAAAAATTAAAACTACACAAATTAAAACGTTCTCGAAACCAAATAAGAAACTGCTTGAATGACAAATGTAATAAGCTCAATTATATACTGATTCAAAAATGAAATGAAGCAATAAGTAACCACACATGTTCGAAATGAATCAAGAACCTGAATAAAAAATATGTATTATTCATCCTTAAGCTCGAAATCTGGTTGACCATTGAACCCATCTACGAGGGTGGTCTCAGAAGTACCCAACCCAACAAAGAAAAGAAAAATTTTGTAAAAAATGTATTTATTTTTCAACATAATCTCCTTTGAGCTCTGTACACTTTTTCCAGTGATGTTCAATAAATTCGATACCCTTTTTATAACAAGAACTGTCTTGCTCCTCAAAATAGCCATTAACTACCGATATCACTTCTTCATCGTTGGAAAATCTTTGACCACTGAGCCGTTTTCTCAAGTTTGGAAACAGAAAATAATCCGAGGGTTCTAAATCTGGTCAATAGGTAGCAATTCAAACTCTCATTCGTTAATTTTGCCCATTGCAATAACGGATTTGTGAGCTGGTGCATGATTTTGATGAAACAACACTTTCTTCTTAACCAAATGCAACCGTTTTTGCTTGATTTCATCGCTCAAACGTTGCAATAAGTTCGCATAATACTCGCCGTTGATAGTTTTACCTTTTTCAAGATAGTCAATGAAAATTATCCCACGCGCATCCCCAAAAAAAACGACGGCAAAACCTTGCCTGCAGATGAAACGGTCTTCGCCTTCTTTGGAGCCGGTTGTCCCTTTTGAGTCCATTGTTTTGATTGTTTTTTTGTCTCGGGTGTGAAGTGATGGACCCATGTTTCATCAATGGTTATGAAACGACGCAAAAATTCAGCTTTGTTGCTGTGAAACTTCGCTAAACACTCAATTGAAACATCTTCACGACACCGTTTTTGCTCGATTGTGAGCAATCGCGTCACCCATCTTGCACACAGCTTTCTCATGTCCAAATTTTCAGATAATATGCGATGAACCGCAATTTTCAAAATGCCTACTATGTCTGCTAGCTCGCGCACTTTCAATCGTTTAAACTCTGCTACCTAATATTTCACTCTTGTAAACGAAGGAGCAGACTCACTCAGGGTAGAATCCAGTTCAGCTTTTATATTGGTTGGGCTGAGGCCTTCGAAATAAAAGTATTGTACCACATAACGAAGATTTTCTCCATTTTCACAAATTCACTGAAAACGTTCAGTATTGATGGCTGCCAAACAAATACTAAACAACGTAGCGTCTTCAAACTTGACACATATGCTTTATAGGTTGCATACTTTCTAATACAATTATATTTTTCAAACAACTATCGCCATCTCTAGGTCAGGCCGGGTACTTCTGGGACCACCCTCGTATATCTTCCTCAATACTTGAATCGCCGACTAGACTCCTATAGAACTTCTTGGAATCCTTGGAGTAATAATTTTAAATCGTCGAGCTTCTTTTCTGTTATAGGTTTCCCATTTGATCACAGTTTTTCGAGAGGTTTACTAAGCAATGCTTGAATCGAAGCATTCGATGGACTGCCACGTCTTTTCTCAATATTAATTTGTTTAGAGGGAGCTTCAAAATCATTCTTAACAAAAATACTGAAAGACTTGTCTTTAAACACCTCAGTTGCTCTAATTTTGAGCCAAAAATACTCAATCATATCTTCAATTTTCCAACTATTACAATTTTATTTTCAGAAAGTTGGCCTTTTCTCATAAGCTGTCTAGAGACTTTGAATCAATAGCGATGAGTCCAATATGAGGCCATTTGATTATCGCTGGACAGCTCGTGAAAAAAAAAATAATAATTAGAAAATTGCAGAAAATGTTAAGCATTTTTTAATGCATTTTTTATGGACGTTGAGCACCTGAGAAGCTCAACTTTTGGCTATTATTTCAGATTTACCGTTATGTGTTTCCCAGTAAGAAATAAATTCAGAAATCGACTTTATAAGAAATAAACAGTTACGGAAAATTGGCGGTGTAAGGCCTCAATATTAGCGTATTTTTATCCAGTACAAATTTTTTTGGATTACTTTCGCTAATAATTCCTTCGTTTCTAATAAAAGTGATTTTTCCAAATTTGACGTTTAATAAAAAAGATAGACAGCAAAACCTTTTGTATCTCTAGATTGAGGAGTCTTGTCATATACCGTCAAGAATATAGCTCCTTTCTAAAACCACTTAGAATTTTTTCTGAAACACGGTCGATTACTGGCTAGTCAGCTTGGTCTATACTATCATCTACGGATGTATCAGCACGATCAATCTGACATCAAGCCCAATCGAAGGCCTAGATTTTGAAGCTATCAGTAAAAACTTATAGATGCTACGTTAAAAGTGTGCATTGCCTCAGAAAGTATTGTGAAACTCGTTACGTGAACTAGGAGGGTAATTAACAAATGGATAGAGAAATAAAATTTTTGTCTCTTTGTTCCTCGTTCAACTTGTTACAGACATTTATGTAGAACACCTGTTGAGGATTTCAAGGTGTTTCCGGTTCTTAAAAAATAGGCACTCATAATCCAGTAGTGCGAAAACGAAATTCTCTTGGGAATAGAGGATATGAAATTAAGTTAAAAACAAAAGCTGAAGCGATTTCTTGCAAAACTGCTCATAATACTGATTCAGTAGTGAAAAGTTCTTTCTTGAATGTGTTAAGCAAAATATTCCACAAGGATTGGTGTAATTCTGTACAGTTGAAATTGTCTATTTTTAAGCAATTTGCAAATAAATAAAGGGCTAAACATCAAATATGGCATTTACAATTTCTTGTTTTTATCTAATAATAGTCTCAATATTCAATATGAGATTGATAGTTGAATTTGAAAAGATTGCTAGAGCAATCTCAATTAGTACCTTAGGGAGAAAACTTGTGTACAGTTGGCAATCGGCATATGTTAAGGAATACACGAAATTCATACCTTTTCAATACATGTATCCTTTGAGTATCGTTGTAACTACAGCACAAATATTTTTATAAGGTCCATATTATAGGTTTAAGACTATACGGTTGTTTTAAAATTCTTCTTATACCTCATATCTTAGTTTATCGAAGATTAGTAGCAATTAAAAATAATCTAAATTTCATAGAGTCACTTTTATTGGCAGAGTATTTTTGACTGTATCTCAAATGTTAAATTACAAAATCAATTGATTATGAAAAATGATTGTGTAAAAATGAAGTACTTAGTACGAAATACCTCTGATTGAAGTATATTCACAGCCTTTAATCATAGATATAAACTTAGACCTTAAACTTATACATCTATAAATAGTTCCGGTTTTGTAACATAAGGTCACTCAGAAAAACTGCCAATAGGTATAGATTTTACTAAAATAAGAGAAAGGTGCTTTTGTGCATGAAATTTAAAGCTTCGACATAAAAATTTTTAATAATAATGTTTATACTGCGACTGTTATCCAGTTTGATTTGTGGGACATTGTGGAAGTATAAAATAAAAGTATCTTAATTTCAACGTCTTTTAATGTAACACCCGAATTTATCCTGTGGTTTTCATGTTTATAGGGCTCCATTGCTTGGCTGCTAAATCAAACTACACATGTTTATTGTACTTGAAAAAGGCCATCCGGTGGCCAAAACGTCGTATAATTGTAGTTATTGCAAGTATATGAAATATATGTGGTTTGAATTAGCGACGAGACAATAGAGTCTTATCAACCTACATCAGACTCACTACACTCATACGAGGTACACTAGAAAAGAAGTCTGTCTGGTCAAAAAAAAAACAATTCGAAAGTGGAAGGCAGCTTAATATCAAAGTGGTTTATTAGCTAAGTTACAACATCGTCCCAATTCTAATGATAATAAACGGATGCCTTTTTGAACCCCATCAAGTTACTTTGCATGAACCCTTGCCTGGTTATGTCTCTCAAAACATCTTTGCTGTCTCCGTTAGAGTCTTCTAAGTCCTGGAGAATTGCAATCAGTAGATGAACACCTCCTAATATGCCGAACGTAAGAAGTATACATTGCAGAGTAGTTAAAGCCATCAGTCTGTTGATATATTGAACTGGAAGTTTTGCGACAAACGATTCATTGTTGGTATTTTCTAGGAGTTCATATTGTTGGAGTTCTTAAGGAGGGTGAAGGACCGAGTATCTTGTCACTTTGACATCTGCGTAATATTTGCTGTCAAAGTCATAAGGTCTGGCCTCGGTATGTAGTAAGTATTAACAAGAGCACTATGAAGCTATACTGTACTAGACGTTTGTAGCATAAGCTCAATAAATTGGCCGACTTACATTTTTTCAGTAGACTTGTCAGACAGATATTCGGTATTCCTGAACCTACATAGCAAAAATGTACCGTTCAAATAAAAGAAATATATATTACTTCCGTTTTCGGTAAGACTTTACTTTAGCGCATATCGCAAATATTTTATTTTTTATTTTAAGATATATAACATAACATCATTTTTTCTTTAAGGAACCCTCTGCTAGCTATTTTATATAACTTCAAAGTTGGATTTTTGGTGGAAGTACTCTAGAATAGCATACTGTTTTATACGCTGGTTTTTTGCTTTTTACTCAAAAGGATGCCCTAAATTATAAGAATATAGCATACGAGTACACTGTGTAGTACGAAAGAAAATAGATGTGAAGCTGGAAAAAATCGTTAGTTTTTCAAAGAAAAAGGTTAAAAACTAGCCGTAGGGGAGACCGGGGATGGTTTTTACAGGGGTTGATTGTTACAGTGTTACTACTACCGTATAGATGGCAGCAGCTTCGCAACGACATTTTCAGGAAGGGCCGCCCGTATAGTCTGTCGCCTCCTAACATAATTCAGTTCCGCTTGAGTGCGCATGTGGTATGTTGCTTTCGTTGTTTTCGAGGCTCTGGAGAAATTTTTGTTTTTGAAAAATATTTGTTTATTGAGTTGCCTGTGGTGGTGAAAACCACTTTATGAGATGATCAATTTATAATATCAGGTTAGTACTTTTATAATGTATTGTTTTTATTCGGCTAATTATAATGTTCACAAAAATATTTGAGAAAAAAACAGAAAATGGCGGATGGGGTTGGTTGTGACACCTTCAACGGGGCAGGTTGTTACTGTCACAACCTACCCCATGAAAAATTCTATTGGTGCATTTAACATAATAAAAATTGTTTTAGACAGATAATGAGGAACTATATTCGCAAAACCGGAAGGGGAAAAACACCTGTAGATGTTTTTGAACGAGCTGCTAATGAGGTTCTTGTAAACAAGAAGTCCCTACGAACAGCAGCTACTGATTTTGAGATAAATCATATGACTTTACGGCGATTTTGTAAAAAACAGAAACAGAAAGAAGATGAAGGTAACTTTTTATTTTACGCATTTTTTACGATTTGGTCTATTTGCATTGTACTTGCTGTGTTTGTGTGTGTGTGTGTGTGTATAAAATTATTTTTTGTAAGCTCCCGTTTTTTATACATTTATAAAACTCAATTTTGACTTTCTTTGGCTTTTTAAACATTTATTTGTAACTTCTATGTGTCAGCGTTGAAGTGTCAAATTAATATTTTTATTTTTTTTTTATTTTTAGGATTAGAAGGACCTATCCATTTTGGATATAGACGAAATCGTCAGGTACTACCAGATGAGATGGAAGCTGACTTGGAAGAATATTTGTTGGACCAAGCAAAATATTATTTTGGCTTATCCACGAAAGAGGTTCGCAGACTGGCCTTTGAATTTGCTGTAAAAAATAATATAGCTGTTCGCCCCAACTGGAATGAAAATAAAATGGCATCTGATGACTGGTTGACAAGTTTTCCTAAACGTCATCCACGATTATCTCTCAGGGTTCCCGAGGCGACTAGCCTTGGTCGAATTACCAGCTTTAACAAGACAAATGTTTCTGCATTTTTTGACTTGCTGGAAGGAGTGGTTGATCGATATAAATTTGAACCACAAGACATCTATAATGTCGATGAAATGGGTATAACAACTGTGTAGAAACCAGATAGAGTCATTGCTAGAAGGAGCAGCTAAGCAGGTTGGGTTTGTAACATCTGCCGAAAGAAGAACCCTAGTAACATTTTGTTTTGCTATCAGTGCTAGCGGCAATTCAATCCCTCCGATGTTCCTGTTTCCGAGAAAAAACTACAGAGATCATTTTGTGAACAATGGCCCTCCTGGCTGTATTGGAGCCGCCAATCTATCGGGGTGGATGACAGAAAACGAATTTTGTATTTTTCTGGAGCATTTTGCAAAACATTGTAAGTCATCTAAAGAAAAACCGGTTTTACTGTTACTTGATAACCATGAGTCACATCTTTCAATAAAAGGCATTAACTACTGCAAAGAAAATAGCATTGTTATGATCTCCATACCCCCGCATTGTTCACACAAACTACAACCATTAGATCGATCTGTCTATGGGCCTCTTAAGAAATATATCAATACCAGTTGCGATTCCTGGATGCGCAATAATCCTGGCAAAACAATGACAATTTATGACGTACCTAAAATTGTTAAAGATGCTTTGCCTTTGGCTGCTACCCCGAAGAATATCCAGGCTGGATTTCGAATAAGTAGAGTTTTCCCCGTTAACAGAAACACTTTCACAGAGGATGAGTTTCTTCCTGCAGCTGTTACAGATCATCCCAATCCAAATATTAAACAAACAAGTTCCAAACCAAGCCGAAACCCAGCAAGAAGCTCTGTTAACTGAACAAGCAAAAGCTCAATTCACTGAACGGGAACAATCTCAAATAATCCCTCCAAATTCGCGGGTTGTGGTAAATTTACCTTCAGTTTTACGAGAGGTTAACAAAGAAAGAGATGATTTACAAGTCGAGGATTTCCCTAGACCCTCTGGAATAAAATCGTACTTATCTCCACAGGATTTGCGCCCAACGCCCAAGGCAGAACCACGAAAAACAAACAGAAAAGGACGAAAACGGGGCCGCGCTGCCATTTGGACTGATACACCCAATAAAGAGGAAATTGAAAACGCATACAAAAAAAGACAAATGAAACAAACTAAGAAAAAGGCAAAGCAATCAGGCACAAAAAGAAACATTTGTAAAAGTAAATCCAAACATATTCCATCAAGCAGGTCTGAGGATGAAGAAGTTTTATTTGCAGTGAGCCATTTTCAAATTCTCGTCCAAAAGAAAAATGGGTGCAATGTACGGCGTGGTCAAACTGGGCCCATCTGGAATGTACAGATAAAAATCCATTTTTTATTTACTTAAACTGTAGTTCTGATGATGATATTTAAATATGGGGCCTTCACAACTTCACAAGATATTGTCACAACCAACCCCAGCATTGTAACAACCAACCCCGAAGCGGGGTAAGTTCTTCTTCTGCTTTTCTTGTTTATATTAATAATAACTTTATTTTTATTAGCTTTTAAAATTTAATTTTTATGTTTTTTATGCACAAAAGGTTAAGTAATAAATATACGGTAAAATGAAATTTGTGGTATTAATAGGAAAAATTTAAAAAATATATTTATAAAAATCGTAACAACCAACCCCGGTCTCCCCCATAATAAGCTGAAATGACAGTTTCAAATGCATACCTTTAAGACTATACTTTAGCGCATAACGGCCAAAATTCTTGTTTTTTCGGAAAAAATTTAAGAAATCAGCAGAAGTGATCATCTTTTAAGGAAAATAGATGTGAAACTATAAAAAATCGTTGGTTTTTGCAAGAGAAGGTTCAAAACTAGCCGTGTAATAAGCTAAAAGAACAGTTCAAAATACATACCGTAAATGCTGGTATTTACTTGGTAAACTGTTTAAAGGTGTTGTGTTGAGATTTTTTAATGTCTTCTTGAAATTCCTTAACCATTTTGTTTTGCGTATTTTCAATGAGATCAAAGTTTTAGCGTTTATGAGAAATATTTGAAAGTACAAATAGTTCTCAATGGCCATTTTATAACGTTCATTTCTTGACAGATAAGATAAATGATATCCATTGTTGCCAAGTTGTTATTTTTTTGGGAGAAATACGTAATAAAAAAATGAGGTTATTTGTAAAATAAAAGTCTTAATTTATTGAAAATGGCTTAGTTTATAACAAGTTATCCCAATATTTACTGAAAATTAGATGGAATTTTGAACACTACGTGTCTAAACAGTGGAAAATGTACTAGCGGCTCGCGTGACCAAAAATACAAAAAGCACTAGCGGTCATTGCATATAAAAATACCCAACTTCGATTCGTCAATCTGGATCACGTCGCCAGGTGCCCAATATATCATCGTTCAACATCATAGATAAATAAAGATCAACGACCACTTCATCAAGTCATCGAAAAACTTGCATGTTCTTTGTTATGTTTTCTTTATTTAGTGACTGGCAATAGCTACTTTTGCAGCAATTTCCCATAAATATCACACTTAGGGCCGATTTCACCAACATTATTATTATGGACCAATAGGAAAATACCTTATCGAAATGCAATTTGACGGAAGCTGTCAAAGGTCTCAGAATATCAGTGATTTCTATTAAAATGTTGAATAAAATCGTGAAAATTCGACTGTATTATAAACAAGACCACTTTTTGATTCCAGCATGATGCTTTTGTACAGAGAAAACAGGACAACTTTCATGTATTTTGATTTATGTTATAGGTGTACATTTGACCATCCGTTATCCCCTCAGCGAATGGGAATGGGAGAAATAATAGGTCGATTTTCTAGCTGTTAAATTTGGCAGCAGGTTCTGTCGTTTGTTAATTCATGGCAATCTCGAAATTTGTTAAGTTCAATATACTGTGTGTATATGTGATCATTATAGCTACACATACCTGTTGAATTGTGCGGATTTGCAAGAAAATAGAATATAAAATGTATTCCAACCGATTTCTCATCTCTCTGTACATCATAATAGTAATTCATTTGTTATAAATTCATGGGTTAATGAATTTCTTCAAAGCAATCAAAACAGTATGTCGTCCCCATCCTAAAACACCGATATGTGTAAAACATGTTAATCCCTACATCTCCGAGGTGCATAATGCAATTACTGTAGACATAGACCTAAAATTATTAGTAATTACTGAAAAATAATGTCGGGCTCATGCACGACTTAACGTAACCGAATTTAAGGATCAGCTGTTTCTACGCCAGTGTCCTCCACATGTTACGCCGCCAGATGGTAACTAGCTAGTGATTTCCAGTGGTGGTCAACGTTTTGGTGAGGTCACAGTCATTTTTTGACATGATTCGGGTGTTCCAAGACGATTTACGGTCAAAGCCAGGCGGTGAATCATCTGTTGTTTTTGTTTGAGTTGTTGACGAATTTGCGGTAGAGATTTGTTTGGGTGTTCGTCTTCCGATGTGTTTTTCTGCCTTGGACTTGTTTTTTGTGCGATTAATCGAGGATGGCCATGCCTAGAGCAAAAAAAAACGAGAGGCGCGCTGGTATCATCTCCTGACCGTGGTGAAGAGGTACCTGCAGAAGGCACCTGAACGCAATCGGACATCGCCAGAGGAGCGCCTAATGAAGACGTCGTGTACACGTTGAATCTGCACGAACCCCTAAATACGTGGTTATGTTGAATGTACCATCACCGATGGTGCGACTGATTATACACTGAAATTAAAACAAAAAACTGCAACTTCAATTGTATGCATGAATGTTGAAACTGTTGAACAGTTTCGGACCAGTGGGGTTAAAATATCGTTGAGGAACTGGAAAGAAGTGTATGAATGTGTTGAAATGCAACACCTAACAAAAATTTGAGCGAAAAGGCTTTTTCATGTAAGGGTTTGGAAGTGCAAGTTAGCAAATATAGGATAAACTATAAGCACACAGTAGGTGATATAATCACATATGGATTACAAAAGTTGCAGTGAACATGGAAAAACCTTCAGCTAATCTGAAAAAATAGATTTTACTCAGACATCAAGCACTAAAAATTTTGGCTCAGTTTTACATAATTTCATAATATTTAATAAACTGAAAAGATTTCAATGGCAAGCTGTCACTTCATATTTTACAGTGTTTTGTTTTGAATACTTTGATGCTATTTGCTGCCAAAAATTTGACGGAAAGATCTTGAGGCTGATTGGGTATATTTAACGGACTGTTTGGTACTCGTACCCTATTGGTGCAAAATAATGGTTTGTTAAATTGTGACATCCACCCTTAATTAGGTATATTTTTGTGACATCAGCTTCACTTTGAACAATTCTTCAAGTACATACATACAAACAGGGAATAGATTATAACTATAATATAGGAAAAACAATAACCGAAGTATTTTTGTGAAAGGCATACGACATTCTTCAAAATAGTGTATTTAGCTAACGCTATCGTAGGACACGAGGTGGATTTAGTACAATAAAACCTGCTGGCCACACCTACAAATCGCATTTTCATGGCAATCCTGTGCCGATTGCATATTTTTGCGCTAGTATATAAGTAAGAATTTAACACACCAAATCAAGGTATATTACAATCAATGATTTTGCAATACCGCATCTAGAAGCAGAAATTAAGATAGTAATGGTGGTATAGTGATGGGAATATTTATCTGAAATAAAAGAAATCACTACTTAACAATGTTCTATTTTCCTCATTAAAATAATGCAAAAATTGCCCCAAAACGATCAGGTAGATAAAAAATACTGTCTTCAATGTTTTCAGTACAACTCTTAAATAATATGAAAAGTTTGCAATATTCTACCAGCGGTTTTTGGAGCTTAAATTAGGAAGAGAAGTTTATATAAACATAGGTCGACAAACGTAGGACACTACGGTCTTTTAGGTGCTCTTATTGAATATCGGTAAATTGTGCCATTTTTGAATAAAGTCAAACTAAAAAAATTGTCACATGACAGGAAATGTACTGCGAATTTAAATGAATTGTTGAATAATTAGCCATGGCAACGAAAAAACTAATTTAATAATTGATAAATATTACATACATACATATTTCTATTGCATCATAGCTAACATTTAGGGAAAAACAAAATAAATTTTTTCTACGAACGAAATTGAAATTTGTTTGAAAAAGAAGACATACAGTTGGATATACTTAAAACTAGCTTTACAATAAGTGTTCAAATAAATTCCCATTTTGTTGGATACAGAGTCTCGCTCGACGAACTAATGATTGCGTAGCCCTAAAAGTGGAAAACCTTTTTCTTCTTATTTCATTTGCAGCCTGATGGATCCTTTGAAGTAAATCTTCTTGAGTATTTACTTCAGTCGAGTAAACTAGGTATTTTAAAGACCCCCAAAAATATAAATCCAATGGATTTAGGTCAGGTGAACGTGGCGGCCACGCTATAGGACCTCCTCGGCCTAACCACCTGTCTGGAAAATTGGCATTCAACCAATTTCGAACATTGCGTCCAAAATGTGCAGGGGCGCCATCATGTTGAAAAAACATATTTTCTTGAAACTGCTTTCGCACATCCAATGGTATTATATCCATGAGCTCATTCTGAAGTTCAGATACACTGCTGAATTCAGACGATTGGGAAGTACAATAGGCCCAATTACTTGATTCTCAATTACTCCTGCCCATAAGTTCAATGAAAATCTATGTTGGAAATTTGTATGGCGAACAACTTTTGGATTTTCATCTGACCAGTCATGCGTGTTATGGAAATTAAAAGCACCATTCCTAGTAAATATTGACTCATCCGACCATAATATTCTAGGAATAGTGTTTTCATTTGAGAATATCCACTGGCAAAACTCGATTCGTGGTGAAAAATCTGCCTCCGTTACATGCTGCACCCGTTTAAAATAATAAGGATGTAATCCTTGCATTCTTGTCATTCTTCCTATCTAAAATTATTATTTTTAGAATAATACTATCAAATAGGTGTTCAAAAATTTTTCTTACTATTTATCGAGCTATATCCATAATTTCTGAAACATTTCGTATGCTTATTCGCGGATTATTTTCAAACATGTTTAAAGCAATATCCATACGATGACTTCCCAGTGGCCTTCCTGAGCCCTCCTGCATGGTTTGACAAATTCCGGTGAATATCAGTAAACATTCGACGTCTAGGTACTATGCGATTGGGAAATCTTCTTTGATATTCTCTTACGGTTGCCAATGAACTGCCATTGCAAAACCCGTACACAAAATGCATATCAGTCTGTTCTCTGTCTGTAAATCTTGGCATTTTAAATCGATTTAATGACAATTTTGATTTTTATCTTGTAATTTTACACTGCTAACAATGTCAGCTTAACGTCAGAATAAGTCATAACAAATCAAAACAACTTTTGTTTGCAGTCATGGCTAACTATGTACATATAATCAACAATTCATTTAAATTCGCAGTAAATTTCCTATCATGTGACAAATTTTTTAGTTTGATTTTATTCAAAAATGTCACAATTTATCGATATTCAATGAGAGTACCTTTTTTATGTAGAAAACTCTAAATTTTCAAATTTTAAAATTGAATTTCAAAAATAGAATCACACATAAATTTTGGGGCTAAAATAACCTGAGTCCGTCCCTGTTACATACGTTTCCAAACAAAACTATCTAAAATTGTTAATATTTTTAAATCCAGTATAAAAAACTAGGCTAGAATACCAAATTTTATGTCTTTATCTCATCACGTTTCGGAAATATTAAGGAAAAACCATCTTCAGGGGAGCCCCTTTAAAAGACCGTAGCGCCCTTAGGGGACGTTTGTCGACCTATGTTTATATAAGCTTTTCTTCCTTTTTTAAGCTCTAGAAACCGCTGCTAGAATATTGCACACTTTTTTCGGGACACCCTGTATAAGTTTTATAATACGAATCCATGTCATGATATGTACAATATCACCTTATTAAAATCGGAAATAAGGCTGTTTACCTGTGCCTAGTTCATAAAAACTGAAGAAATGCTTGGCTGATGATACTATGAAACAAATGGCTGTCTGATAATTAGAATGCCTACTAAGGGAGTTCTGTTTTTTGAAATAACTAAGGTTTGGCAATATCAGTGTATGATATATACGTTTAGATTGGACATAAGTTGAGATGTTGCCTGTCATTTTGTCTTCCAGTTAATTTTTTTGTCCCCACGTAATGTTAGTAATGACTTTGTTGAATTGATAGAGGTGCCGTTAAAAATTGGGTGCCCGTGGTTTTCAAACTTTGCTCGTGTGTCGATTTGGGGTGTACTTAGCCAAGAAATAGGCACGTGGTTCACTCAGACGCAGCTTTTTTTATACGTAGTCCACTCAGTTGAACAACCACAATAATATAAGTAGCCACAATACTTAGCAACGTCAGCAACAGCTTAGCATTAATGTTGAACAGGCCAGCAGCTGTGAAAATTGGACGGTTGTTTAAGATCAACTTGATGGTATTCATAATCTCGTTCTTCGCTATATCGTAGTTGTTGTGCTGACAGTTAAAACTGCCAATCTTATGTTGAATCTCGTATAACGTTGAAACTATCTCAACACCTGCTCTAGTTGCTCTTTCAGCAGATATGCTGATTATGAAAACATGGCACTAAAACAAAAATAAAAAGTTGAAGTCAATATCTACAAATGCAAATCAAAGCTCTTAATGCAAAAATATACTATGCGCCACCAACTGTTTCTATAATAAATACAATCTAACAAAGATCTACTTACTACTGAGACGATAACATCCATGAACCTGCAGTAGGTTTGAAATTGTCCATGTCTCACTTCGTATAATGTAGAAAGAGCTGCGATAACTAGAATGTTTTCTATAACCAATATTATGGGTAAGATAGCTAGCATACCATGAAAGCCGTTATGCCTTTCTAAAGAAAGGTAGATGCTTTTATAAATTTGACCTGCAGAATAGATTATTGTCAGTTACCATTTTTGGTATTGGTTGAAATAACGTATGTATACAGGATGCCACTGAATGCTATTGGGGAAATTGAAGCGATGATTCGACACCTTAAGCATATGACAAAAGTTCCCCTGATACTGGCTATTTAATCTTGTCTGTCTTTGATAGTCACATTACATTTCTCGAAAACAAATTGAGGTACCGAGTTTTGGTGTACAAAATTGTTATCTAAGTTTACTAAATTTCGTTTGCTAAAAAGCAAAAGTAGTCGTAGTAGATGCCATTGATTTTGCAAAGAAATAGTATCAGATTAAACATGCCGCTCTCGTCCATCCAACCAAACACAACCAACCATGGACGCTGTTCCGTGCTTTTTAGCTACTCATCAGCATAGTCTAGTCTTGATCTCTCAGACAACGAACTAAAACATAGCAAAAATCTATTTCGTTGTTCGACAGTCCAAACCTATATCATGCTGATGAGAAGCCAAAAAGCACGAAGCGACTGTCCATGATTGACTGTTTTTGATCTGATGGAATGAATCAGGTTGTTAAGTTTGTTCAATGGCAAGTAGACCACATCTACTACACAGTTGGAATCATCGCCATCTAACGGTGACGTGGTTACTGAGCCTCCAATTGCAGACTGAGATCTATACTGTCCCAACCGGTATCTGATATTCACTGTTCGCAGTCGTCGATTCTAGTGGTAGGTGGCGCTTCGCGCTGTCTTTATTTCTATAGAGAGTACTATATCTTCAGTCCAGACTGATTGTACTTGAAGACTGATTCATATTTCGTTAATAAACACTGTTCTCGAAAAAAATTCCTTTGATTATATACATATAACCAAAAATTCCACGAGACTCTCAAGTGGAATCAATATGGCAAACGGTTTTTGAAAAACAAGCAAGCTTAGATGGTATTATATAAACGTAAAATTTCTGGGCCGATGTCTATGTGAATCCTTTTTCAGATTTTCATGTGCTGGAAATACTCTCAAAATTTTCTGGTAATATTCTGTCGCATCCTGTATAAATGTTGTATGTATTTCACTATTATTATTACCTAAATTCCTGATATCAGTGGCATAGACGTACCCATGGACTGGGAGTATAGCAGGATTGAAGGAACTAGTAAGACCTCGAAAACCTTGATTGAGCTTTTCCAGTTTCTCCAGTATAATATGTGTGGATACATACACCAGCAGGGTATCAATAAAAGCTTCAAAATTCAAGAAGCAATGTGGAAAAGTGGTACCTCCAAGCGTGAAAGCTATTATTATCACTGGTATATTCAGCATCGAATACAAAATAACGAACTTTGTTCTACAATTTTTCCTAAAACACATATTACGAGGAATGTATCACAATAAGACGTGTAATTCTTCACAGGACAAAATTCTATAACCCTGTATCTACCCCAGTAAAACCATTATTTAAATGAATATATGGGTGAATATATGGTATTTGGAATTTGAATGTTCCGACAGAAAAATCTTAAGTAAACCGAGAAATAGTGGAAATAAACCACCCAAATAGTGTAAAAAAATCGACAAATTGTGGAGATAAACCAAATATTGTAAAATGTATGAAGAAATGGAGGTAATATTTGGGCATAATATCCTCGAAAATTAACAAGATGACTGCTCCTCTCGCGTGCCCCATTCCCGACTTCCACTAAAAACATCAAGAAATGTCTATATAGGTATGTACTGGTGTAACAATAAACGAATACTGTATGTATCACATATCATTATCACATATTTTCATGTATAGATACACTAAAGTGTGCCAGTAGTTCCTTTATTTACCATGGTAAGTATATTATAAATCGAATCAGGTTAATCAAATAGGCTCATACAATTAAAATTTGCATATTTGGATTCAATATGTATGCAAGTACCTACCATGCTCGAATGCTGGATACCACACTTTTCTTCCCATAGAGGAAATGCAATCGCACACGAGTGAAAACAGCTCGTATCAAAATTACAACATTATAGACAATGACCATAATATGTTTCGACATAAGCAACATGAATAAGCTGCTAGTTAAGTGATCATAATTTCTTTTCGCATGGTAAAATGACAGAAATATCTGCATAATATGTACAACAAGCCATAGAGTACTGAAAAATGTTAGCTTTGAGTATGATCGAAGCATATTGAAAGGATTAATTCGACAAAATGTTCAAAGGAAACAAATTATCGTCATATAAGTAGTGATATTTTCCATTATTCTCCAACAAAGTTTCCTTGGGTTGATTTCTTTTTAATCGATGTTGATTTGTTTAGTTTTAGACACTTGCAGAGTAGTTTTCTGCGGAACAAGCCACATTAAATGGAAATAAAAGACACAACCCAAGAATGTAGTATTCTTCATATTCAGAATTAACTTTTTTTAAACAGCTTATTACAGATTGACACGAGGTCTGTAAATTAAGTGATGAGACTGGTAACGTGGCGTTCGATTTAGCAACACTGGAGGCGCCGGGCTTGGAAGGGAGACAAGGGAAAATGTGACCCACATTCGGTACAAGTTTGAACTTGGTCGAGTCATTTGGTTATGTTCTAAACATGAGTGACATCAATTTCAAGCAATGGTGTGCTAACATCTTCGGACTTGGGAACAATGCAACGGAAACTCTTGCTAAACAGACATACGGAGATAGTGTTTTGCCAAGAGCCCAGGGTTTTCGGTAGTTTAAGCACCATGAAGCGGAACACCTTCATCATCAAGAACCGATGTAAAAAACCTATAAAACGTCAAAAAAACCAACGGAAGACGAAAATAAAAATACCGTTTTGAAGTACGAAGCAGTCTTATGTAAATCATGTCAATAATTCCTGCGTATTTGAGGCCAAGAATTTGTTCTTTCGGAGACTTGGATGCGTAGCACAATACGCATACACTGAAAGTGGGATATTGCGCATGTGGGCGGAGCTTCGTGACGTCACCCGGAGAGTTGTCGGCTCGTAGTTATCAGCGGCAGGATTGTCGTAACGTTACTGCAGTTCACGTGTATCGTAATTAACACTATATAGTGCGATTTTTTGGTGTTTTTGGTGGTTTTGTGACCTGTTCTATTAGGTATACATACTTTATATAGCTTGTGTGGTTGATAAGTTGTTAAAAATGCGGTGTGATGTAATTCCGACAACCAGTCTAAACGGAATCCTTACAAAGAATGAAGTTCTACAGATTTCCTCAAGACTCAAACCTTAGCAAAAAATGGCTACATCATACAAGAAGAAAAATTAAAGTCCATGTAAAAAGCGCTAGGGTTTGCTCGAAGCACTTTTGTGAAAGTGCCTATAAGGTCAATTTGAAACATACCCTTTTGGGTTACAGCCCGAAATATATCGTGCTCTAAAAGATCATGCCATTCCTATGGAAAATTTACCAAAGTCTCTATCATCACCTGTACCATCTACACCTGTTGATGGGGAAAAGCAGAAAAGTGCTTACGAAAAAAGGCAAATGGCTCAACTTAGCCCCTAGAGTTTAAGTATACGTAGTCGTGCCATAAGTTCTGTCCCATGATAATCTCATGATAAAAATGAAACAAGATAAGATATATTTATATGAAAGATATTATTTATTCGACAACATTTTTAGAATTCATAATCAAACAGTTTTATTCAAAATGTCCCCCCTTGGCCTTCACACACTGCTTCAATCTCGCGGGCCACTCATCTATCACTGCACGCACAGCTTCCAAAGGAATAGCTGCCGCTGATCGGATCAAATCCGCTTTCAGGGACTCGATATTACGGTGGGCTTTGGAGCAGGCCAACTGCTCTAGCAGGTCCCACAACTTGTAGTCTAAAGGATTGAGGTCCGGACTCCCTGAGGGCCAATCTTCCGCAGCAATGAACTCTGGCACATTGCTTTCCAGCCAGCGCTGCGTACTCTTAGCCTTGTGAGCGGGGGCGGAATCCTGCTGGTAGACCCAGTGTTGGTTGGCAAACAATGTACCACTTAAAGGCTTGACGATAGGATCCAGTATGTCGCTCTGATAGTTTGCCGCTTTTGTTTTCACGCCCTGTTTACAGAAATGGAGCTGAGTGACCCCTTCGTAGGACACCCCCCACCAAACCATGACTGACGCAGGGTGGTGGCCTCTCTAAACTCTCGGAATGATCTCCGAAGCTTCCTGTGAACTCCTTGCATACACTTTGTCATTTTGTCGGTTGAATTTTTCTTCTATGGTGAAGATTCTCTCATCCGTGAACAAAATCTTTCGGAATCCCCCAGCTGCGTACCTCTCCAAGAGCTTCTTGGATCTTGTCGCCCTGATGTGTCGCAAGGTGGCCGTAAGTCGCTGGCCCGTGCGTCTCCGGTAAGCCCCTAGCCCTAGGTCTTGTTTAATGATGCGCGACATCGTCCGGACAGGAATCTTCATTTCCCTGGATAGGATCTTCTGCTTCCGGAGTGGATTCCTTTGAATCCTGGCTTTTACGGCTTTGATGGCTGCTGGAGTCCTTACTTGACGAGGTCTTCCGCTTCTTGGCCTGTCATCAACAGAGGACGTCTCATTGTACCGCTGAATGGTCCTAGACACAAATTTACGCGATATTTGAAGGCCGCGTAAGAGTTCAAAAATCTGACTAGCACTGTGATTACACTTATGTAAAGCTATCACTGCAATACGGTTCTCTGCCTTGCCCCACTCCATCGTTATGCTTCGAGAGATCAATACAAACTGAGGTATATGTAATTACCCGAAAAGCGCTTAATCAACTGACACCACAATGTAAACAATCGGACAAGTATTAACAGGTCTACACTTGTTTGAAAACGAGGGACAGAACTTATGGCATGACTATGTAGAATAAGGTCATATATTTTGGGGCGCAACGAAGGCGCATACTCAGAGTATTGCAGTGTAGAGGTAGAGGATACTCCAGACATTCCACTAACACCATCATTAACGAATAAACTGAATGCACCTGAAGTATCAGCTGACTATAACGAGGAAGTTTTAGTGGAAGAAATGGAACAGCTCGAGTATGATGGGCTCAAAAATTTGGCCGGCTTTGTTTGCCATAAATTGCAGGATGAGAAGTTGAAAAGTTCCTCATATGAAACTTACTCCCGGATAGACCATCTTAGTGAAAGTGTATTATCAAAACCTTCCACAGCTGTCATGAATCAAATTGCGAAGCTTAATAAGGCGTTTGCTACATTCAATGGGGACGGAATAGTGACAGACATTTATTGTTATACTGCCAGCTTACTGCAAAAAGATGATAACTCCATTTTTTACTTGCGTACATTTTCACACTTGCATGTAGTTAGTACTTAGGATGTTCTGTGAAATAAGGATGAATAAATGTAGTGCGGTATTAACATCATGAGCATGTTAATCCTGCTCCACAGAACATACTAAAATATAGGTAATGTAATGTTTTTACAGTAAAGTGGCGATACACGCTCTATTTTAATGTATCTAGTGTGACTCGCACCGCTAGGACGAATCCAACGACACCTCATATGTGAAAATCCGTCCAGCCGTTTGGCCTGTAGGTGAAAATATGCACGTCTTCCATATCAACCCAAATGATAATCACTCTCCGCGTGACGTCATGCGCGCCGGCGGACGAAAATCGAACAGCGGAGCATCCGGCACTGGATGCGTAGATTCCGAGTACAAACTAACGTTGTCGCTGGATCCATGGACAACATCACCCACTTTTCCGTTCTGGATACGCCACTGAGCCCTGTCAAGATCGTCGTTCGTTAATTTACACACTCAGTATATCCCCTGCGACTTATTAATGCGTTTGATGACCACACACTCCTCGTGTATAATAATAAATGAATTTTAACAAAGAAAAGCGATTATTCGCCGCTCAGTCGCGGTTGCAATCAGCTGGCGAACGCTCGTAGTGAGGTTAGGTGAATGACCTTGACCCTTGATGGGAATGCGTCTTATCTTCGTCCCATTCTTATCAGTTCGGAATAGGATAGGACAGTGTGCGGCAGTACTGTTAATTGATTTTAGTTGACCTGTGTCCGTGGTCAAGACACACGTATGTTGGCAGTGGGTGGATAGTTGCTTTCGCACATGTAACAATTCTCAGGTTAGTTTATTTTAGGATATTTTATTTTTAAGCATAAATATGATTATCATGGATAGGAAATATTGCTTCGATTAAATATTTATACAATAGTGTCACAAAGAAAAACATAGCTTTTTATTCATGAAACAATGGGTATCACTAGCGAAGGTATCTAAAAATAAAGCAGTGCTGTTTATTTGTAGAATGTGGGACAGAACAGGCGAAAATGGGAGATATACAGGGTGTTTCAGTTTATTGTTGCATAACTTTAAGATTCGATAGAACTTTCAAAATTAATGCATAAAGTCTATATAAACATGGGTCGAAAAATGCATGGCTTCCGAAATACAGGGTTTTTTTTTAATATTTCGAACAATATTTGATGTATAACAGTGAAAATTGGTATACAAGGGTTCTTTGGTACGACAAAACGAACCATGGGCATAGTCTTACTGTGTAAAATGATTCTTCGCACTTTTCAACATAAAAAAGCTTTTCGTTATAGTTAGCCGTTTTTTGAGATATTTCGATTTTTAAGGTTCGATGCATTTTTAATTATTTATGATAAAATAACGTTAAACAGTCAGTATCTCGATAATTTTTAGAAGTAGGCTGTGCCTGCAAATATTTTTGAAATTGAAAGCAGAATAAGGTTAAACGTCAATTAGTTGACAGTTAGTTTTGTTGTCTGTTGAAACCTGAAACGTTTTTTTGCAATTGTAAATGCACGAAATTTGGTTTCTTTTACCTATTTTTTTTTTGTAAGTTTATAAAAATGCCATTTTTATTCTCCAATCAAGAGTTAGCGGATATTCATTTTGTGTATGGCTTTGTAAATGGAAACGCAGCAGAAGCAGCCAGAGAATACGCACGAAGATTTCCAAACAGACGACATAAAACTCGCTCAGTATTTGTAAGAGTGCATCGCCAAATAATTGAAAATCGTTTTGGAAATCTCCAAAGGGATCAAAACATAAATGTTCGTCAGCGCAGATTTACCCGTATGATTCTGCGTGAGTTTGATAGAGATCCGACCACAAGTGTTAGGAGAGTTTCTGGTGCCTTGGGAATTTCAGCAAGCCATGTTCACCGTGTTCTTAGAAATGACCATAGACGACCTTACCATTTGCAACCTGTGCAAGGACTACAGCCAGGGGACGGAGAACGAAGAATCACATTTTTTTATTGGATTCTTGATAGAACTGATAATAATGGGGAATTTTTAAGTAACGTTTTATGGACCGATGAGTCATGCTTCACTAGACGTGGAATGGTAAATTTTCATAATCAACATATTTGGTCGCAAGAAAATCCGCATGCAGTTCGGGAAAGAAATTTTCAGCATGAATTTAGTGTGAACGTGTGGATTGGTATCTACCGTAATCGACTATCTGGACCCTACCTTTTGCCTGCAAGGTTAAATGCTGCGACTTTCTTGGAATTTTTAAAGGCTGAACATGCAAATATGTGGGATGATGTTATGTTAGATTTAAGACGATCCCCTGACCTAATCCATTAGATTTCTTTGTGTAGGGATTTCTAAAAGAAAAAGTGTACCAGACTCCCGTAACCACAAGAGCTATGCTAAGAGACAGAATCAGGAATGCATGTGATGAAATAAGGCCTTATTTGAATCATGCTATACCACGTTCGATCATTCGTAGATGTGAATTGTGTATTGAACAATTGGGTTTACATTTCGAGCAACTACTTTAGATTTTGTATGTTTGTCCTAACTATCCAATAGCATTTTAGTTGTGAATAATTAATTTAATTTGTTAAAAATAATATTGGAAAATTAAACAAATTAATATTCTGTTTTTTTGTGTTTATTTGGAGTTAGGAATCATTGCTGTGTTTAAAAACACAATCTAAACGATCATCTTAATTACTTGTAATGCCCAAATCGAAAATGTAAAAAAAATATTATTTTCCCATAAATAATTAAAAATGCATCGAACCTTAAAAATCGAAATATCTCAAAAACGGCTAACTATAACGAAAACTCACAGGAGAGCTTTTTTATGCAGAAAAGTGCGAAGAATCAGTTTTTTTATTCAAAAAACAAAAAATTGGACTAAGAAAAAATTTTCGTCATTTTAATACACTACAGGTACAGTAGAGACCGCCCTCTATCGGCTACAGTAAAGCTATGCCCGTGGTTCGTTTTGCCGTACCAGAAAACCCTTGTATGCCAATTTTCACTGTTATACATCAAATATTGTTCGAAATATTTAAAAAGTGATAATTTGTATTGCGTAATGGTATTTGTTATATTTTCCTACCGCTTGCTGTCGCAAAATGTAACAATAACTCAGGATGTGTTGATTTTATCACCATCGACGGAAATCAAAGATAATTATAAAATAAAACACTACGTCGCATCAAAATTGAAATAAACAGATCCAATCAAAATGAAAACAAAATATTAAATCAAATATTCCAACAGTCGTCCCTCTTGGGTTTGACAGTAACCTATGGTAGAAGCCTGTGCGAACATTTTCTGGTGAAACATACTAAGAACGCGGCAGATTGCACGACCTTCTGAGTCAGCGTTGCTAGGCAATGTGGTGATCACCTTCGCTCTTCAGCCGGTTTCTATCTAACATGTATTGATACACACATATTGATGAACTCAAGCTGTCTGACAAATTTGGTTTTCCCTGTATACGATTCAAGAGGCAAGGAGATATTTTTTCTAATATTACCATTATAAACATTCGTCACTTGAAATAGTTCAACAATGAGAAATTAATCAACACAGAAATAGAAAATTCGGCCCATTAAAAAAATTCTGTTAGCTATGCGCTAAGGTGACTAGAAACTTGAGAATAAAAACAATGTTTGGAATCAAATGAAAAGTTTCAACTCCCTTCAAAAAATATATTCCCATAGCCTCCAAAAGTGTTCATAGCTTTGAAAACAAGTGTATGACTCGGTACTTTCCATGCATCACTTTAAATAGGTAACGTCATATGAATGTAATATCTGCATCTTGAAATAAACCATGCCATTTCAAATTCATTGAGTCCCCGGAAAATATTTGTTGTCCGTGCTGTGGATAAGTGGAGCAGTAGCCGTCAAGCTAAACTTAACCATGGCGCTATTATTATTATTATTACTATAAAAAACACTCAAAATAGGCAACCTGGGCTCCATTAACAACTAGCCACTCCTCGCACCGTGAGGTAAGCAACTAGTCGGTCCGCAAATCGTGTGCCCTAAGTAGATGGAGGGAACCGAGGATGACCGCTTTCTTCATTCTTCCGGCTGAGGTGCTTGCCGATACTCAGCATACCGGTATACGTTTAATTGCAGATAGCAGTGTACTCGCCAAGGGTCCAATGATCATAACTAGCAGACTGGCAGCGTGGTCTGGCCAAAGCCTGATATTTGGTCCGTTTTTCCTCCTCCTTCGAGACGATGTTCACTTCGACCGTAGCCGATTCAATAACGAACATCGCCTTCTGTTCGTGGCCGAGGAGGACTATGTCAGGCCTATTCGGCTGCACCAGCTCGATTGAATGAATAATTCCCGTAAATCCGGCATTTCTCGTTCTCCACAACAGACTCGATATCCCCTGGAGCATAGGGCACATCTATACCTTAGGAGTCTCTCAGATGGTAGTATAGCACTCGCAGAGCTGCGATGTGCCGATAGACATAGCAGTGTCAGCGTAAACTTTAAACGCTGACAAGAGAGGCAGCAGCGGTGGCCGCAGTAGTAGACTCTTCGGTCTCATGATCAGTCTCCGTGTGCTGTGCAGGTTCGAATCCCGTCCCAGCAGAAATTTTTCTCTTGGCTATGGATGTTGTGATTGTCCGTAGGAGGTAGACGGTCTCTGACTGTCGAACGCGGAGGTACCACCCGGCGGATCTCGTAGGCGGAGCCAGAATGTGGGCATGTTGCATGCACACCACCTATTCCCTCGCCAGAGTCCGTGTGGCGTTCCCCCTTTCTCCTGTATCCCCTATAGCCCCACGGTACCCAATGGGTGTTTAGGCCTTAGGCCTTCGTGGTAGTTGGAGTTTAAAAAAAAGAGATGAATAAGAGTTTCTGGTGCCTGTCTACATGCTCTGCAGTTGGCAGCGGATGCTTCCGCACCCATAACCCTACTACGGTGTGTCAAGGTGTTAACTTTAACCCGCTAGACCTTAGAAATAAGAAGGTTAACTTATTGGACAAGCCATGCTCCTATTATCAGTATTATTATATTAATGCGTGGGAACTACTGAGCTAGTCTACTTGGTTTTGACTTTTTTTTATTCCAGGGATGAGCAAGGATGTGATCTGGATGCCGATACCTCAAAATGGAATTGCAAGAATCGACGCCCTTACTAACCACTGCAAGTGTGTCTAGAAATCAGTATGGTTATAATGCTCATGTGTGTTTCGACAGAATTTGGACAGGATGTCTCGCATTAGTATTGATTGTTGGATTTTCTACCGGAATGTATCTTTTGAGTCAAGAAGGTAATAGCTTGTGGTGTCTGTATGACAGCAATACTTGAAAGCATATAGCGAGCGCGGATTTAGAGGTGGCGAGGCACCATCAAGTTTGCCATTTTTGATCACGAAGTTGATATATGTAAACGATATGGTAGTTAGTCGTTATTGAAACGGGGTCAAAACAAGTCAAAAAGTTCATATGACCCATGGTTCAAAAGTCAACAGATTTTTGTCTAACTGTTTTATATCGACCACAATCTTACTGATTTTTATAATCTAATCGAAAACGTTTTTAAATTGGGTAATTAACAAATAAATGGCATTAAGTTCTTCTAAGTTAAGCCAAAATGTGTAGTCAGTAAGTAAGTTTCATTAAATTGAATATTTAAAACACACATGACAACAGCGCGTCGGTCTTTCATCACTCTTATCGAACCGGCAATCGATCGCAAACGGTATCAGTGGTTAGTTATCGTTTTGCATAGATAAATTACTTTACCGTTTTATCGAGCAGAGCATCGAGCGTGTTGTTTTGTTTCTGTTCGCGTACGTCGTCGTGTTTATTTACAATGTTCTCGAATCAAGAGTTCTTCGACATGTTGTTAGTTTACGGTGAAACTCGTCGGAATTCAAATCTTCCAGCTCAAATTTATCGCGCCATATTTCGCCATCGGGTACACCCAGACAGAAGGACATTTGTGCAAGAGTACCAAAGACTTCGAGATACAGGACGTGTTCAGCCTACTAATATTCGCACTCGTGAAAGACAGGTTACTGTAGAGCAGGAGGAACAAATTTTTAATATCGTGGAAATCAATGCATCACCACACATTTGTAGAGGCGTCATTCAGTATTTGAATGAAATTATCCAAATCGCTGGATCGGCCGAAATGCTCCTGATCCTCGAAAATGGCCAGCAAGATCTCCTGACCTCAATCCGATGGATTTCTGGTATTGGGGAGAACTAAATGGGGCTGGTCCAATAACAACTGAAGCACAACTTCGCGAAAAAAAATTTAATGCGGCTGAAATAATAAATGGACAACTTCGAGGACCTAGAGTAAGAAGAAACTGGGTTCGTCGAAATGACGCTTGTGTGGAAAGTGGAGGACGACATTTTGAACACCTTCTTTGAATACAAAAAAGAGCAGTGTGGGTTTTAAAAAGAAAAACTATGTATGTATCTATCAAAATTGAGTTCCCTATTTATAAGTGGATTTTTTAATACGTTCAATAAACTGTCACACACCAGGTGAAGCGCTGAGACAGTTAGTGGTGAGTCCGTTTTTTTTAATTACTTGCATTTTACGAGTACATTATCAAATAATGAAATAATACCTAAGAGCCAAAAATAACAAACTCCATCTTCATTTACACTACGTTCCGTCGTAATTTGCGTCTGGCATTGCGGCGTTGTCAGATTTTACTTTACTTTAAAGTCGCTTTTCTCTAAAAAATGTCGTTTTTGACCCCCATGTTATATGAAACTTTTTGCTTTTTAATCCCCTCTATCACCCATTTAGATAATGACTATCATAACGTTTACACCCTGTATATGGAGGCTGAAATGATAATACGAAAAAATATGTCAACGTCTATTAGCAGAACGCCGCAAATAAAAGTACAATAAAATGAAACAGGTGCTTACTTTTTGGCCCAGGAAGGTCTAGTCCCACGAAGAGATATTCGCCCCGAGTGATTCCAGGGCAGGAATAATCCCACGGTGGGCCCATCCAGAATAGGACCCCCATCGGCGGCAAATCACCTTTGCAGATTATGCATTTCTCAGCGGATGCGGTTTAGGTTATCTATTGACTTATATGGCGCCTTTGTGGCGCATCTAATGCGCTACAGGGTGATCACTCGTGGCAATATATAGCCGCATGTTAGTGTAAAAATTCCCTTGCTATTACGAGAATAGTGAGACGCCCCCTCCTAGACGTATTAGGCTGGTTGACACTTTTTAAGTAGGTCTTAAATAGTTGATATTTGTTCTATTAGACCAAGAAGTCATACCATATTTTTTAAATACCTATAAATACCCCTTGTGAACAGCATCTGGCAGCAGCATGACCTTTCAAACTTTTAAACATGACTTCTACTAGCTTAAATGAAAAATATAGTAATGACCGTTATTGCATCGTCCGGGAATGTAAAAGCACATCGATAAAGAACTCAGGAAATCTGTGGTTTAAAATGTCCAGCAAAATAAATATACGCAACACTGTGTATTGCTTAATAATAAGAAACATACAGTATTAGATAAAATTATTCAGAAGTTATGACGCAGGAGCTTAGTTTTGAATAATTTCTGAAAAAGCAGATTATGTAAATGTATTACTTATTCTTTATTTTTTTTGTATATCATTATATCAGATGTACTGTACTTACATAGAAGTCTTGATGTTCCTCAACTCAGCAGAAATCTGGGTTGAAGTCAAAAAAAATTACCAACCATCAATGTGTCAGTTCTGTTTTTCCGATAAAACGAGAAAACAAAAGTAAAGCTTTTTACTGTGACTGGCAGTTTTTTAGAAATACTTAACGAAGACAACCTTAGTCCACGAGTGACATGCGGATGACGTTTCTTTGTTTACAATTTGCATGAGGTCACATAATGGCCTATCGGCTGTGTTTTCACCGCTTCATATTAAAAATAAAATAATATTTTGTTTGTATTTGCCTTATCCTAAGCTAAATGCTCTAAGAAATAGTTATTTATTCTATGAAATCAGATATGGATCAAGAGGTCTATTGTCACAAGGATATTTGCTATCAGAAGTGCTCCTCAAGTGCTCAAGCATGCAGCCGCCACCCCTCTAAAATCTTAGTCACCATCATTTACAACTCAAACCTAGTGACTATTCTGGACTAGAAACAAGTACGACTGGTGTGTAGCTAAGTTAGACAAATACCAAATAAATAATTTATTATTGCCCATAAATACCTCTTTAGATAAAACTACTACTAAAACTTCACCAAGGGGTGGTAAAGTTTCCAATACAGAAAATCAGTGGCGTGCCACGTAATAAAAAAAATAAATCTGTATTTGTTTATGAGAAGATTTAATCTCGATTTTTCTAGTCCGACGCACGGTTTCCACCTAAGAAAAAGTTATTTCTCTGCATGGTGAAATTGTCATGTTAAGGATATTGCAGTGATCAAGCAGAGAAACGGTTTTTATTTTTTAAGCGAAACGCGTACATTGGTTTGGAAAATTAAGCAATCAAATTTGCTTAGAAATAAAATAGCATACTTGTTATTTTAAGAGAAATCGGTGGCGTATAATCAATGTCTACCAAAATACGCAGCTGAAATTCCCTAGGAACGCCACTGGTGGGAATTTAACTCAAACGCAATACATTAAATAATGCTTCTTGACACAGAGAATGCCAAACTTTAAAATATCTAAAGTGGTCACTACGATTGTGCTTTATTTCAGTAATAAACCTTGTATCCTGGATAGATGATAACTGCTCAGTTTACGTTCATTGTCCTACCTGCGACCCAGCCTAAACCTAGCTGATGAGTTGCCAAATAGCACCAAACAGCTGTCCATGGTTGACCGTTTGTGGTCGGATGAACATAAGCTAGGTACCTATATTACTAGTTTTAACTTTTAAGTGATATTATCACAGATAAACTTTACCAGCACCAAGTTTATCAAAAGTAGATATTTAGGACATACGTTCATATGAAGTTTTCTTCTTAAAATGGAGCCAGAAATCGTCTCCTTATTTATTGACATTAAATTAGGGAACACCCTGTATACGACACATCGTACGTCATCATAACCCCAGGAAACAGGCGAGCCCTACAGCCTATTTCAATCATGTTTCCATTTCAATTATGGCAGAATATATCCAACAATGGTCCATTTTGCCATTTGTCATAGAAGATATTGGCAGAAAATTATAAACAAACGAACTCACCAGTCGGCGTCGTTTTCCACAGCGATATTCCAACAACATTATGCACCAGACGTTTTTCGGGGCTAGCACAACCGATTTTGCACGACTCAAACATTCCAAACGTGTAAATCACTCACGATTTTTTAATTCGCACTTCTCCGATACATTTTACCGATCACTATTGAGCTTTCCCTTTGAAATCAATAAAAATTCCGAATCACCGTACAGGTTATACAGATTACATTTTTAAAAACAACTGAATAAAAGGACAGTTGATTTCAGCCAATAGCAACTGCGAGTCTCGCGCGGATTGGAAGAGGGGATTGATGGGCCGTGTTTACTATAGGCCGGTCAAATTAGGAGTAGTCGCCGAGATAGTGTGCAAATTCAATTTTACTGATTTCTAAACTAGACAGGATATTCTTGAAATCACTCGTGCGAGTGATTATTATAGAACATTTGATGCATAAATACTAAGTGGCACTGTTTAAAGTGTAAAATTGGTGCTGTTGCGTTTTGTAGAACTTCCGATTTCACTGTTTTTTCACTTGAAACTTATAGAGGGTAGTCTGATACATTATTTTAAAACAAGAAAAGTGTGGATGAAGCACCTTTTTCCCAAAACACTGTATTTTTAACAGTTTTTCCACCATTAACTTCACCGCCATCTGCCGTATGACGTTGACGTCTGTGCATATGTCATAGTATATGAGCGGCGCTTGCCTGCACTGTTGCCAGATTGGGCTCCGCATTTAAATAATGAAACACAAAATCAAAAAACTGAAACAAGCAACAGTGGCAAAATAAAAAGCGATTCTTAATAATTATATAACAAAATATAACAGTAGTAAACTAAAAATCAATTGTAAATAATTATAAAAACAGTAAAACAAGAAACAATTCCATGTAATTATAAAAAACAAAAAACAACACAGTAAAATAAGAAGCAATTCTAAGTGATAAAAAAACAGAAAGTAAAAACAGTAAATTAAAAAACAAATCCAAAAACTGAAATGAACAAGTATTCAATATTAAAAGGGATACTTTGCGGCAATTTGTCGCAATATATTTTTGAATCGGTCTCCGGGTCTAGGACCATAGAGCCCCCACCAAATCAACTGGTCAATATATCGGGTGAATGAGGCGATTGCATGACACCCAGCCGCCTCAAAAATTGCTTTAATCTAGAACAGTGCCCTTCAATTTCATTAGTGCACACTCCTGTCACCGGATCCACAAAATTTAGTGTGCGGTTCAATGTTTCATGGATGTAGGGGGAAACACCACCTAGGTTCCCCAAGCGATTGTAGCCGGCCCAACCGTCCTTCCAGACTTCTGTTCCCGGCTTGACAAATTTTAGTATTTCGCTCTCAAGCGTAGTCGCATTCCTATTTGACACATAAATAATGTGCCCACGTTTCGTGGAGACATCGAAGAGGCCCAGGACCCACAGTTCCCTGTGTTGTTTTTTGTTTTCTATAATTACATGGAATTTTTTCTTGTTTTACTGTTTTTATAATTATTTACAATTGTTTTTTAGTTTGCTACTGTTATATTTTGTTATATAATTATTAAGAATCGCTTTTTATTTTGCCGCTGTTGTTTGTTTCAGTTTTTCGCTTTTGTGTTTCATTATTTAAATATACGTATATAAATTTTCCACTTTTCATACTTTCCCCTAAATGCGGAGCCCAATCTGGCAACAGTGCAGGCAAGCGCGCCATGCACAGACGTCAACGTCATGCGGCGGATGGCGGTGGAGTTAATGGTGGAAAAACTGCTAAAAATACAGTGTTTTGGGAAAAAAATTTCATGAAAAAAGTGCTTCATCCACACTTTTCTTGTTTTAAAATAATCTATAAGACTACCCTCTATAAGTTTCAAGTGAAAAAACAGTGAAATCGGAAGTTCTACAAAACGCATCAGCACCGTAAAATTTGCCCAACGTCAAACAGCACGCTATTTTGAAAATGGGCTTGTATGAAAAAGTTTTCAGGTGACGAGGAGCCGATAAGGGAAAGTTTCTACCTAGTAACAAGAAGATATTGGAATGCAGAGCCACCTGGTGCCAACACTGTTAATTTAACGCTGCCGGTCTACCGAATACTGCTATCGCAAACCAACACCCCTATCTGTGAGACTGATTCAGACTGCGTGAAACAGGTTCAAGGTAAGATCATGTATCGTGATAGTACTTTAGCACTTGTTTTGTATACTAAGTGACATATAAATCCGAACACCCAATTTAAATGGTTTTATTTTAATAAAAGTTGGTGAATGTATTTATCTTACTGTAAATAACAAGTGAACCAATTTTCAGCCTTATCAGTTGGACATTCCGGTTTTTATACTGCTTTTTTAATTCACTAACGCTCTAAAAATGAATATTTCAGCCGCAGTAAAGAATCAACGTTGGCGGATTTTGGTTCTTGACATCCTTTACGATCGGTTACGATGCCTAGAGTACGGAGACCTGTACGATTTCGTCAACTTAGTGAGTTTGATAGGGGCCGTATAGTGGGACTTCGGGAAGCTGGACTTTCTTTTCGGGCAATTGCAGTTAGAGTGCAAAGAACTGTAGACACTGTGGTTAGGTATTGTCAGGCATGGCTTCGAGAAGGCCGGACGCAAAGAGCAAGGGGCACTGGACGCCGCCGTAGAACAACAGACCGTGAAGATCGCCGCCTAAGATTATTGGCCTTAAGGGACCGTTTGTCCACTACCAGGTCCATTGCAAATGAATGGTTTGCAGAACATGGAAGACCTATTGGCATGCGAAGTGTTTACCGACGAATAAGAGGTTTTGGCTTGTTTTCATACCGGCTACACTGGGTCCTCCCTTTAACTCGAGAACACCGACGTAATCGCCTTGAGTGTTTATTTATTTATTTATTTATTTATTTACTAGTATATACACTATCCGAACGGTTTATTACACCATTTAACGGATAGGAACACAGGAATCAATTTTAAGACAAAATTGTTCAAAAATAACTTAAAATTGCCAAATGACTCAACCTACTGTTATGTAAAATCTTTTTAAGCTACGCAAATTACAAAAGAACAAATCTACTGCGTTTCTTGCACGTTCATAGTTGTTACATACTACATATATCGGAGATGAAAGCAACGCATTGGTTCTAGCTACGTTTAAGTAAAAGTATTTTGAATTAGATCGCGTCTTAGCATTAGGTACATGAATAAGAATCTTACCAAGTAAATATTCACAATCTATGGCATTATTAAGCATTTTATATAAAAATACACAAGCAGCGTAGTTTCTGCGCTTCTCCAAGTTACAGAGGTTATATCTGCTAAGTAATACATCATGCCTGAAGCCAACTTCTGGATACGTACCATCTTCCTTGTGCCATAAATATTTCACAAACCGCCTCTGAATACGTTCAATTTTATTCGAGTGAACTTCATGAACAGGATACCATATTATAGAGCAGTATTCAATTTTGGATCGAACAAATGAATTATATAACGAGATCATGGTATGAACATTATTGAAATGCCTACAATTTCTGATAATGAAGCCCAAACTTTTATAGGCCTGGCTAACAACAGCATCAATATGCGAAACAAATGTAAGTTTGGTATCAAAGGATATACCTAAGTCATGAAACTCCTCACACATGTTAAGTTGCGAATTGTCAGTGTAATATACGAATCTGATTGGAACAAGTTTGCGCGTAATAGACATAGTGTAGCATTTATCAGCATTAAGGTACAGCTTGTTACGGTGACACCACTTATTTAAGTTGCTCAAGTCGTTTTGCAATATATTACAGTCGTCCATTGTTTCAACCTTACAAAAAATCTTTAAGTCATCTGCATATAGAAGGCAGCTACTGTGTAGCTCCCTAACGACGTCATCAATGAAAATTTGGAAAAGCAGAGGGCCAAGAGCAGACCCTTGAGGTATGCCAGAAGAAGGTATAATCTGAGTGGAGGTGAAGCCCCTGTATTCGACTTTTAGGCATCTGTTTGTAAGATAAGATTTGAAAAACTTCAAGAATTGATGGGTCAACCCTCGTGCAGCTAATTTCTTTAACAAAATACCGTGATCTAGCTTATCAAAAGCCTTCGAAAAGTCAACGTAAGCAACATCTACTTGCCCCCCTTCGTCAACAACTTCAGAGCAAAACTGTTTAAAACACGCTAGATTAGTTAAAGTAGATCTGCCTTGGAAAAAACCATGTTGATTTGGAGAAATTTCGCGCTTAACATGGGAGAAAATTATATCATGCAGTATACATTCGAAAACCTTACCGACGTTGCTTATAATCACAACAGCTCTATAATTCTCAATAACACAACGTTCGCCTTTTTTAAATATGGGAGCAATCCTAGATGTTTTCCAAGCCATGGGAAATGTTGTAGTATTAAGAGATATGTTATACAGATAAGCTAAAGGTTCAGCTAAAACAAAAGCACAGTCTTTCAGTAAACATGCAGGGATTAGATCTGGAGTGGAAGATACCTTGGGTTTAATCTTTTTCAAAGCGGCAACAACCTGTTTTTCAGTAATCATTGGTATATTCAACGGTAATGAGGCGCAGTCAAGTGAGTCTGCGGGTGCAAAGTTTGTGGAAGGTGAGTATGTGGACTTGAAAAAATCTGCAAAAGCGTTTACAATATCTTGCGGTTCGTTAAGTTGAGTTTTATCAAACATCATGGTATCAGGGATACGAGAAGTATTTCTCAAAGAATCAATAAAACACCAAAATCTTTGAGGGTTAGTAGCTATGCCCTGTTGCAGACAACGGTCACTCTGGGATCAGGAATGGAACAGTATTGTCTTTAGTGACGAGTCTAGATTTTGTTTAGGCATGCACGATGGTCGTGCCAGGGTTAGAAGGCGACGTGGTGAAAGGAGGAATCCACAGTTTTTTGTTGAAGGACATGTTCATCACACTGTTGGAGTTATGGTTTGGGGTGCTATAGCTTATGGTTCCAGGTCACCTTTAATCTTCATCAGAGGTAACATGAACGCGCAGCGTTATATCCACGAAGTTCTAGAACCCCATCTTTTACCCTATCTTGACACCCTGACAGATCCAACTTCCCAACAAGATAATGCCCGACCACATGTTGCAAGAGTCACAATAGACTTCTTTCAACATAATGATGTCACATTGTTACCATGGCCACCAAGATCTCCCGACTTATCCCCAATTGAGCACGTGTGGGATATGATGGGTAGGAGATTGCTCAATTTGCAACGTCCTCCTCAGACTCTAGAAGCACTTCGAAAGGAGTTGGTGGTTGCCTGGAATGAGATACCACAGGATGACATTGACCACCTGATCAGAAGCATGCCTAGGCGCGTTGTTATTTACAGTAAGATAAATACATTCACCAACTTTTATTAAAATAAAACCATTTAAAGTGGGTGTTCGGATTTATATGTCACTTAGTATATTTGAGAAGCTAAGCTAAACAGCAATGGCCCGTTTACAACAAATAGCCCAGTAAACGGATAGTTTTGATCTAATGGAAATTCGATAATGGATGAAAATTGATGTTCAGGTTATTGATGTATTGTTCTTTAGCATGAAAAAAGGTTCCAGATCCTACCATAGGTAGAAACATTTGAAAAACTTTTTAATTTTTGAGTTTATGCTACGATCTTTTTAATGTTATCTATAGAAGACATCTCTTTGAGCCAATTGATTGATAAAATAGTTTTTTGGGCCATTTAACAAGCTCCATAATTAATAAAAATTACAAAGGGTGTAAAGAACAAGCTAAATTTTGACGTGAGTATATTCAAACTATAAAATTTATTGGTGAAAAATATACTCCAAAGTGAGTGTTACTTTATGCCATAAATCATTTCAAAATCATCATAGCGAAAATGTCATATAGTTTTTTATTTTCCATTTGAACTAGACTAATTCTACTGAAATATTTACTTTCGAGAAAAAAGAGATAGCACTACAAAGTTCGACTTTTTTAGTCATTGTTTTCAAGTAAATTTTCTTGGCATTATTTAGCCATATCTAGAATAGAAGTAAAAAATATAAAACATGAATAATAACAGCATGAAGAGTTGGAGGTACACCAAATTGAAAGTACTAAACAGTATTTCTTTACAAGTTGTGATCTTATATTTCCTGGACAAGTACAAAAAATGACAATACTTTTGTAAAAAGGATAAAACGTGTAACGGGGTGAAACTTGGGATAAATTAAAGTGTGTCAGTGAAAAAGACCGATCAAATCTTGTCACATGGCTCAAATATTGATTATTGACAATAAATTACGAAAAAACTTATTTTGTGCCATTCTCGTCAAATGTAAAGTTATTACTTCTATAATCTCCTGAAAACATCATCAGGAAATGATTCAAAAGAAATAAAAATTAAAAAAAAGTATAACAAATCTACTGAATTTGAAAAAGAGCTAAAGAAATGGCCCCTATATGTACCTCGAATAAAGATACATCAAGAAGTTGATTTAAAAATACTTACTCTGATTTTTGTCTAACGTGATTGTATATTTAAATCGTGATTGCTTAACCTGGATGTGACTTCTTACCTGATTGTGACTCTTTTAACAATCTGTGAGTGCTATTTACCTGATATGGACAATTTATATTAATGTGTTACACTACTGGGTCTTATTTTTATATTTTATGCTATTTACCCACGTACAATGAGTATTCCTCCATGTGGGACTCTCATTTATTCGCTTATTTCTTTTTTTATTTCATATTATATTGAATTGTGCGAATAAATTATACTATACTATACTAGTTGGCCGATTGCTTTGATCTTGTCTCCGAAACTGAATATTGCAGTGCCTTTTTATATTTTCAGATTTACAAAAGAAGCACAAGTACACCTTGCACAGATCTGATATTTTGTACAACTTTCTAGTCGGCGGTGACGGTAGGATATATGAAGGAAGAGGATGGCAGTATAAAGCAGATTGGCGGGGCGTTGATGCAGTTGTTTTACGATTAGCACTGTTAGGTATGTGAAGTTCTCCGAACGGCATTCTTACAAAAAACGTGAGTTCAAAGCCCATCTCAAAAAGTGTGAAAAGATCAGGATCTACAGGGTGACTTTGAAGTTGAGTCATTAATTTTCAGATAATGATTGTAGAAGGAAGATAAACCAAAATATGTGTGTAAAAATAAAAAAAAATAAAAAAAAATGTTACCTTGTTTTATAAAGTATCCTCCCGACAAGTATTTCAGTGCGGACCTGTATTTGATCGTGAGGTCTCAGAGCACCGGCATGCCCTCCTCTGTGAGGTCTTAAGTCACCTGATTCACGAGCCCTTTGTACTACATTAACAAAGGCACGAGGGGTTGGTTGCACTCGATTGGGAAACCGATCCGCATAAATCCGTGATGCCGCGGCAGCATTTTGTAAAGAATCATGTCCACAAGTTCAGCATTTTCGTAAACATGTGCCATTTTTTATTTCGTTTGAGCCAAGCAACAAACACCACTATTCACTCACGCGTTACCGACTGACACATTGACTGAATGCAACTGAATAAAATTGTAGTAAAAACATCGTGATAAGCGTTTCAAATTCTTTCTCTTTTTTGTTTCCGATGCGATGAACCGTAAAGGCGGATTATATCCGTTGTTGCCAAATACGAGCACATAATATTATTATTGAGACAGGGCGGTACTCAAACTTCTAAAGGGCTATAACTTTGTTACTTTAATTTTACCACAAAAATGTTAAAGGAAAGAAACATTTCTTTTGATCAGATCTACTCACTGTTAAAATAAATGACTCAACTTCGAAGTTACCCTGTATAAGCATGATTTTTGGCTCTGAAAATAACACATATTTCAAGTTGATCACATCTATGAAATTTTTGTATTAAAATATTTAGGAACATATGTATTTTAAACTTTCTAAATTTTTCTTTTTATTCTAGTACTCGATTATTTTTCAAAATCTCAAAGTTCGTAATTTTGTCATTTTTGTCAAAATTCAAAAATTTCCGTATATTTAAATCGGATATTTCTATAGGGGCTCACGTCAAAAAACACAATAAAACATGACATATATGAGGACCACTAGAAAAGAAATCTACCCAGCCATGAAAAAAAGTGAAACGCATAAGCATAATATTGTCTTTCTCGCGAGTATCCATTACGGTAGAATGACAGCTGATTATCTAGTAATATTTCAAAATTCCCCATACTGGCAAAGGACACATAATTCTGAGGGATCCGTCAACGCCAGGTAGACTCAGGTGTATTTTGTTTTGGTTTTTTTACGCTACAGATTTATTTTGTACGTACTCACCACTATTTCATTTAGAAAAGTTGATTTGTATACAAAAACGCTACAAGCAAGTTTTTTCTAAATTTACACCCGAATTGTTATTGCCAACGTTGCGGACTAATACAAAAATGTCACCTGCTGACCAGCTGCTTACCTCAGTAGACGTCAAAGCGGGATTGATACTCGGGAAATAGGATCACGTCAAATAGTGGCATGTGTTCTAATCTGACTTGCAAAATGTCTGTTAATTTTGGCAATAAATTCCGCTTTACTGGTAAAAATAAAAAGTGTATACAAAGTAGGAAGCTATTTCAACTCTGCAATTAATATAACATTGGTTCAAAATACATTGTCAACTCGCGAGCTGCGTTCACCAGCTGCTCCTGGAGACAATATTGCTTGGGAGCATCAGTAATTCCTGTGTTTTATTATTATTACTTTTATTTAGGCCACTATGAAGACGAACCACCTAGGCCATCTCAAGTGGACGCACTGCTAGCTTTCCTCGATATATCTGTGATGAAGAATAGGATAACGCCATGTGTCATGGTCATTGTCGACCATACAGATAACAGATATTTCTTGGACACTGCCTTCAAACTCGAAAAATTCATCAGAGATCAGAATAAATGTTGAATCTGTTACCAAGTTACCATACCTGTTCTATAGAGCTGTGACTACCAATAATTTTTAATATTGTAATATATCTTGTATAAAATCATCTATATTAAAATAATTATGAGCTGCAGTAGTCTTCTTCAAACAACCCGTATCTTGGCTACCCCCTCACAGTGAAAGCTAGAAACAAAGTATTAGCAAAATAAAACACGCTTTTATAGCTAACCGAATTGAAAAGTAGAAAATAATTTTTAATTACAAAGAGTTTATATTACAGCGGCATTAGATGGTCGAACAATCAATCATAATTAATGACCTCAAAATAAAATTATAGTAAAATTTAAGTTATTGGCAGGATAATTCAACTTAGAGTAAAAAATGTGTTGTTTACTGTAGTAACTATTATTTATTTTTCATTTTATAGTTCGATTTATCAATTAGTTTTTTGTGGACATGTGGTATTGAAATGTCTTGCGAATCATTTCGTAATATAATCGTTTCATTTAAAGCTTCACTGATGATAATAACAAAAATTATTCACTTAGTATGCATGCTTCCGCCCTCCTTCTCGTGGAATTGCGCACTCGTTGAAATATCCCTGGAGTGTTTTTTATTCTATTACAAGCTGCAACTATTCTTTCTCTTCATTCCTCTACAGTGTTAATGGGACTTGTGTACACAAAAAGAAATCTAAGCTGTTGAGGTCTGGGGACCTTGGTGGCCATTCTTGGGGCCCACCGCGGCCAATCCAACGATTTGGATAAACAGTTTGTAAATAATTACGAACCGCTACACTGAAATGCGCTGGTGCACCATCATGCATGTACGACATATTGTTTCTGATTACTAACGGAACATCATCAAGCAGCAAAGGCAACTGTTGTTGAAGAAAATTGAGGTAAGTCTGTCCGTCAAGTCGTACCGGCAAGAAGAATGAGCCAATAAAGTGGTTGCCAATAATTCCTGCGCATACGTTAACCGAAAATTGGTGTTGGAAATGGGTTTCGACTACGGCATAGGGATGTTCTTCTGCCCACAAATGATTATTGTGGAAATTCTGAATGGCATTTCGAGAAAAATAAGCTTCGTCCGTGATTCAAATTGCGGATTTTGTGTAATTTTTTGAAGATACTACTGACAAAAGGTCACACGCCTTGGAAAAGCAATGCCTGTACTCTTAAAATATGGTAAGGATGTAACAAAAGATCCACTAAAATTCTCCAAGCTATTTGATGGCAAATATTTAAGTGTCTAGCGATCTTCCTCGTACTCGTTTCAGGATGATCTTCGTGCAGCACTGCTTCCTAAATTTCAGGTGTTCTCACACTTAGAGGTGTACCTTCAGACGTTGCTTTTCGGACTGAACCAGTTTCCACAAGACGACGATGAATATTAGAGAAGGTTTGACTATCTGCCAAAGTACGATCGGGATATCTATGGTGATAAATCCGTCTGGCTTGCTCACCATTACCGTCGGCAAGGCCATATACGTAATGCATTTCCGCCATTTCTGCATTTGAATAATTCACCATTATTAACAAAATTGTAAGAACCTAATAATGAAAAAGATGTTACAGCGAACAGATTTGAATAACAGAGACTTGTCAGATGTCAAAAGCTAGTGACATATTTCAGAGCAACTAGATATTTATTGCTAAATTGCATTCTTCAATTATTACATTAATTTTCTCGGACAATAGAACGGTTTTTATTTTTTTACTCAAAAATGGCGCATCGAATGAAAACAATTTAAGAGAGATCATTTGTTTTAAATTGAACGGGGAATTCAAAAATATCTTTTATTTGGCAAATAACTATTGGCATACCATTTTTTTCTTAAAAAATATCGATGTCAATACACGTATGCACACCACTGTTAAAGCTAAAAATTATTTTTGCATTGAAAGATATGCAAGTTTATTAACTTTCACTACAAAATCGACCACTGCGAAAAATGATAAAGGACAGCACAAAGCGCCATCTATCACACCAAAATCGACCACTGCGAAAAACGATATAAGGCAGCGCAAAGCGCCATCTATCACACCAGAATCGACCTCTGCATATTTGGTATATACTATAAGTGCTCTTCCATACTGTAATGCAATCAGAACATGGGAAAGATCAAGAAATAATATGATAATGATCGGATTCACTTACAATCCCTGCCAATATGAGGAGTGTGCAGTATGAGGAATGTTTGGATTTCATGTTTAGCAGGTAGATAACTGTGTATATAGGCACAAACGCCTGATATCAACATTTCACTATTTTACTACGCGCGCCTACTGGCGATGAAAGTATTGAAATCGCGAAAAATTTCGAAAAGGAGATATTATGATTTCCTATGTTATATGAGATGTGCATTACGAAATGTCATTATGTCATTAATTTCAATCCGTCTCTCTGTCGGTCACGCCGCAAATCCTTGACCTAGCTAACCTTGGAAGGTAATTCTCGGACTTGTACAAACTCACTACTATGCCAAGGACGGCAAAGCTTGGTAGTTTTTGAAAATCGGCCAAGTGGTAGCAGGGGAATGAAAATCACCGAATCTGGATCCTGATCGTTTGTGAAAGTTTTTTAGGGGTAAAAAAATTAGGAGGTAGGTGGTTCTGGGGGAGAGGGAGGGTGTATCGAAATTGTTTGATGTTGGCATATTAATACACTTCCAATCCCGGCACCTATTAGACATATTTCACACATCGACTTCCCCGTACATTTGCCCTTAAGACGATAGAGAAATATTTTGGATACGCGCCCCTGCGTTTGCTCTCTGACTTCACCGGAGGGTGCGGCGGTCTTCGTAAATGCCCTGGTATGACTGGCGATGTACCGCGCCTGACGCGTGTTGCGACCAGGCATCGGGGAAAGGCAACGTTACCAGATGGCCGGTACTACGGGTAGGGTAGGGAAAGAATATCTATGGACTAATTGTATGGACCTGTTTAACGAACTTTCGTTTAATTTTTGTTATACATATTTGTAACTAACTTTTTTCTCGGAGCAACATGTTTAAGTTAGACCTTAAACATGCTGCTTTCATCCGTCCGACCAAGGACAGCTGTTTCGTGCTTTTTTTGAAACTTGTCAGCATGGTCTAGGCTTGGTCTCTGGAACAACGAACTAAAGTATGTCAACTAGCCTCTATTCAGGGTCTAACTTGTGCTGAACATAATCCTTTATGAACTGATGACGGTGGTAAGTGCGGAGTCGACCTACTTGACGCCATTTTTTGGTTCACAATCATGCCGAAATATAGAGTTTGGGGTATAATAACAATATCCTACATTTTTATTGTATAAATAGGCTAACAGCTGATCCGTCCGACCAAGGACAGCTGTTTCGTGCTTTTTTGGAAACTCATCAGCATGGTCTATGCTTGATCTCTGGAACAACGAACTAAAGTATGTCAACTAACCTCTATTCAGGGTCTAACTTGTGCTGAACATCATCCTTTACGAACCGATGACGGTGGTAAGTGCGGAGTCGACCTACTTGCGCCATTTTTTGGTTCACAATCATGCCGAAATATAGAGTTTGGGATATAATAACAATATCCTCGAGCTTATTACATTTTTATTGTATAAATAGGCTAACAGCTGATCCGTCCGACCAAGGACAACTGTTTCGTGCTTTTTTGGAAACTCATCAGCATGGTCTAGGCTTGGTCTCTGGAACAACGAACTAAAGTATGTCAACTAGCCTCTATTCAGGGTCTAACTTGTGCTGAACATAATCCTTTATGAACTTATGACGGTGGTAAGTGCGGAGTCGACCTACTTGACGCCATTTTTTTGTTCACAATCATGCCGAAATATAGAGTTTGGGGTATAATAACAATATGAACGAGCTTGTTACATTTTTATTGTATAAATAGGCTGACAGCTAAAAAGCTTAAATATACCAAAAATAAATAATAATAAATAGATTTTATATAACAATAATGCATACGTTAACCATTAAAAAAATAAATTAATATTAATAAGTGAAAACTAGACACTCTCAATGATTCATAACATTACAATTGGCAAGAGCTGCAGAAAAAATAAAAGGAAAATTACGACAGTGTCCTTAACAACTTCTATCGATATATCCGCATTTATATTTCTGTAATTTTGTTCCATCCACAAAATATTTGAAAGCCCAGTCCGAATCACATATAATTAAGATAAAAATACTCGTAAAAATAATGTTCCAACCTTGGAATAAACGAAGGTAAACTGAAAATTCGCATCGATCTTTATTTTGATGTTTTGGTAGGTCCAGATGGCATTTTATTGTAAATAAAATTAGATAATAAGGTATTTGCAAAAACACAAAATGGTAAAACGAAGGTAAGGACATTCCAGCCTATCATCTGAAGCTTGCACATCTTATCGTATTATCTTAATGTACTTGTTAATCATTGACTTAATAACCAGTTGATGTATTTTCTTTATTAAATATGTGTGACTCTAGTTCCAGGCGATACAACATCATACATCATGAACGAATACAATAAACATTTTAAACTGAACAAGTTTGAACCTGATGTTAGGTCTTGAAGTCTTTATTACCAGTTATGGATCTAAGAAAATATATCATTATGAAAGTTTTCAGTTCATTCGACATAAGGGAGATTACCAAGATATTAAAACAAAATTGATGTCATGTCAGATATCGATTAAGGATATATGAGTATGTTCTTACAAACAAAAACAATAATTGTCATGGAATAGTTTGAGCTACTACTTTTAGCTCAAGAAATATACCAAACGATGAGGTTGGATGATAATAAAGTGTGTTCCGTACTTAAATGGACATAGTGAAATGGTAGTATGGACCGAGACCTTTTCATATCTGAAAATAGATGGTTCTAAATTCATTCATTTTATGGATATATCTAATCATGAAAAACTTTTAACATCATTACAGCCGTTTTTTTCGGCACTTTTGCTGAAATTTTGCACTATAACAAAGTTACCAAGAGTAACGTAAAGCTAGACGGATAGTTAAAAATCCAGGACGAATTTACTTTACTTTTTTAGCAAAACACCTTTTAAGCTGAATATTTGAAATGTTTGACTATGTACAAAGAAGCTAATAAACGGTGCTAATTAATTAGCAAAATACATTAATTGCGCCACTTTTAGTTTTTTCATTTAAAAATGTTTATTTAATCCTAATCTCTAATTTTTATCAGTTTATGTGTCACAAAACTCAAAATTTCAACAGTTAGTTAAAATAATATTGATCTAAAGATGTTTTTAAAACTCATAATCCCAGGTGGGCTACATTTTTTTATTACTTATTAGGGATGCTCTGAATTTAGTACTATTTTGCAGAAAAAAAGAAAAATACATCATATAAATAAAAAGGAAAATTAATTTTATACACCATATTTACCTTTTTCGGTAGTTTTTTCAATGAATTAATTCTACCAACTGATATTGTACAACAAGGGGTCTGCTTAGAGTGGAAACGGGATTTTATTTGCAATTCCAATAAATTTAACCTTCCAGACCAACTTGAAATAAAGTTAAAAGTGCAGAAAAAGGCAGTATGCAGGGCCGAACATGTATATTATGTTTTTCTAAAGAAGTGAAAAAATTGAGTCCGACCCTGGATTTTCTTCACCGTCCTTCTAGTTCCACATTACCTCTAGGTAACTTCGTGGAAAATTTCAAAGACATCGGTTCCATAGTGTCTGAGATATGTGATTGAAGATGTGGAGTGTTTAGAAAATGTATATCCGTAAAAACCGAATTCACAACTTTTTTATTTTCAGATATGGAAAGGTATTAGTATATACTACCTACACTCCGCCTTGACGATTTGGTGAACAAGATCTTATTTTCTTGCTTTTTCCTAAATGCGAACAACAATACAAATGTCCTTCAGCAGTAAGCCTACGTGTAGACGTAGACCCATCTACCCCTAGGACGATAACCACTGTAATCACTCCTCCTGTTGATCCTGTATCCCTGTGCCGTCTTTCTTCTGTACGCAAACAGAGGTCTGAAAGCCATCGTGTCAGCCGTCTCCATATCTTCTGGCTCTTGCTGAAGGTCCTTGGCGTTAGTTTCTAGGACATTCTCTTGGGGATCGCTGTGTGGCTTGGAGCAAACTGTACATATGCACAAGATGGCGATCAGGATTCCTAGCACCTGGATGCAACAAATCAAAATAGGGTTAGTGGTGTTTCCAAAAAACGGAGCAAGAATAGTCACCCGTTGAAACTAAGTTTGTCCGTTGACGATTTGTTTCACAGATAAAGGGCAAACAAAGTTTTGGAAAATATGATTCTTAGAATCTACAAAGACTTTCAAATATATCAGGTAACCAAATAAGTTCGTGCGGTTTTTAGTAGAAAAATATAATTTTTTATTGAGAAACAATAAGGCACTATTTATTCATCGAAGTAATTACCATCAAATTCATTGACCTTTTGCCAACGTGGAACCAATTTTTGTATGCCGGTATTGCAGAACTCCATGGATTTGGAGTCAAATAATTGGCGGACTGCACATGTTACACCATCTCAAGTTGTGAACTGTCGGTGCCTCATATATACGTAGTTGTCAAGAGACAAAAAAAAGGTGATAATCACTGGGCGAATTGTCGAGAGAATATGGCGGGTGCGGTAACTTTTCCCAGCCGAGTTCAGAAATTTTTTCTCGGGTCACTTTTGCGGTATGAGGCTTGGCGTTATCCTGCAAGAATATCACAGATCAAAGAAGGCTGTTTCTGGATGAGTGCTGCTTGTACTCGCTGAAGCTGCTCACAATACAAGCTAGCAGTGATGGTTTGAGGCCTTTCCAAAAACTCATAATGGACAATTCCAGTTGCTGTCCACCCAACAAACAACAAAACCTTGTTTGGTTGCAAGGAAGCCTTGGGCGTGTGTGGTACCGAATCAGTAGGCGACAACCAATGATACGAATGCTTAGAATTCGAATACAAGATCCATTTTTCGTGGCAGGTTAATAACCGATTAAGAACGGTTCATTAGCGTTGCGTGAAATGTTTGCTGAACAAATGGTAAGACGACTTAATTTGTTATCATTTGTCAGTTGATGTGGGACTCATTTGCTTAACTTCCATGTCTTTCCTAGCTAATGAAGATACAAGCGAATAGTTTCAGGACTCACTCTGAACACTTCTGCACGTTCTTGGCACGCTGTCCTGGAATTTGCTTCCACAACCTATCGAAGATACTCTTTGTTCATTTTTGGTCTCCCTGAGCGCGCTTCATCGCTTAAACTGAGATCTTCCGAAGAACATTTTTTTAACCACTTCTGTGCTGTTCGATCACTAACGGCATCATCTCCGAATGCGGTACATATTTTTCGCGCTGCCGCCGCAGCAGCTTTTGTATCAAGTTTGTACTCATACAGTAAACAACTTCGAATTACTGTTTTATTCGTCGCCATTTTCAATTATTAAAACTAGGAATGTAACAATTTTCAGTAACTTCTTTATGTGTGAGAAAAGAAGGATTCATACTAAAGTGACAACAGGTAACAAACAATCGCTATCGATCAACAGCATCCATGGCAATGTGCGATATACAGAAACCGCACGAACTTATTTGGTTACCTGATAATTACCTCTATATATACTAAGTGACATATAAATCCGAACACCCACTTTAAATGGTTTTATTTTAATAAAAGTTGGTGAATGTATTTATCTTACTGCATATAACAAGTGAAAAATTTTTCAGCCTTATCAGTTGGACATTCCGGTTTTTATACTGCTTTTTTTTAATTCACTAACGCTCTAAAAATGAATATTTCAGCCGCAGTAAAGAATCAACGTTGGCGGATTTTGGTTCTTGACATCCTTTACGATCGGTTACGATGCCTAGAGTACGGAGACCTGTACGATTTCGTCAACTTAGTGAGTTTGATAGGGGCCGTATAGTGGGACTTCGGGAAGCTTGACTTTCTTTTCGGGCAATTGCAGTTAGAGTGCAAAGAAGTGTAGACACTGTGGTTAGGTGTTGTCAGGCATGGCTTCGAGAAGGCCGTACGCAAAGAGCAAGGGGCACTGGACGCCGCTGTAGAACAACAGACCGTGAAGATCGCCGCCTAAGATTATTGGCCTTAAGGGACTGTTTCTCCACTACCAGGTCCATTGCAAATAAATGGTTTGCAGAACACGGAAGACCTATTGGCATGCGAAGTGTTTACCGACGAATGAGAAGTTTTGGCTTGTTTTCATACCGGCCACACTGGGTCCTCCCTTTAACTCGAGAACACCGACGTAATCGCCTTGAGTGGTGCAGACAATGGTCACTCTGGGATCAGGAATGGAACAGTATTGTCTTTAGTGACGAGTCTCGATTTTGTTTAGGCATGCACGATGGCCGTGCTAGGGTTAGAAGGCGACATGGTGAAAGGAGGAATCCACAGTTTTTTGTTGAAAGACATGTTCATCACACTGTTGGAGTTATGGTTTGGGGTGCTATAGCTTATGGTTCCAGGTCACCTTTAATCTTCATCAGAGGTAACATGAACGCGCAGCGTTATATCCACGAAGTTCTAGAACCCCATCTTTTACCCTATCTTGATACCCTGGCAGATCGAACTTTCCAACAAGATAATGCCCGACCACATGTTGCAAGAGTCACAATAGACTTCTTTCAACATAATGATGTCACATTGTTACCATGGCCACCAAGATCTCCCGACTTATCCCCAATTGAGCACGTGTGGGATATGATGGGTAGGAGATTGCTCAATTTGCAACGTCCTCCTCAGACTCTAGAAGCACTTCGAGAGGAGTTGGTGGTTGCCTGGAATGAGATACCACAGGAGGACATTGACCATCTGATCAGAAGCATGCCTAGGCGCGTTGGAGAATGCGTAGCACATCAGGGTGCATCCACACATTATTAAAGGTCAAAGGGCTTTAAAGCAGTGCAATCATTTTGAAATTTTTATCATTTACTTATTATGCTTCATTAAGTCCTTATACAAAATTTTATTAAAATAAAACCATTTAAACTGGGTGTTCGGATTTATATGTCACTTAGTATATATAATGCAAGGCCTAAATCTCTCATCGAGGTTGTCGAACTATCTCAAATACACCAAAATCATCTCTTATTGGGTTATATTTTATCCAGCAACTATCCGATTCTCCACTGAAGTTCTGGTTCACCCTACAGGGAAAACCCAATAGGATTCAAGTCCGGCGGTTGCAAGGACTATAAGCCAGGTACTGATGCGAAAGCTATTAAGAAATGGACCTAGTGTATTTGAACGGGTTCGACAATCTATGACGAAATTGTACTACTATTACAGTTGAAGATACCTAATAATTTTAGTTAGTTTTTGAACAAGGAAGCCTCAAATGTAATTAGATGAGTACACCAATATGTGAGAGAGGTGAATCGCGAAAGTTTTGAAGTTGGCATGTTTTTCAGTTGTTTCAAAGTCACTCATTTCCGTCCCTCTAACTCGTTGAACCCTCTAGAATTCTTATCATATATCGAGAGATATTGGAGAATTTACACTAAACTACTCCAGTAGGAAATAAAAATACGATTTATATTCACAAAAAAACTTTTATTAGTTTTGTATTATTTCAATGCAATCTAAGAAATGGAATTAGCCATTGATACTTAACCATGTTATATTATGATGACCAACTTACCCTAACCTTAATTAAATAATTAGGTAAAAGCCAAAATGTTATCTAAAATCAGAGGGCCTAAATAGTAGAAAAAGAAATAATTAAGCATTTAATAAATGCTTACGTGCATACTACTTTTTTTCGTTTGGTGTGTCCAACTCTTTTCGTTAGGTTTATCCCAGGTTTTTAGTTAGGTTTGTCCCATTTTTTAATTAGGTTTGTCCTACTTTTTCGCCAGGTATGACCATTTTTTTCGTCAGCACTGTCTCACATTTTTTCGTTAGGTTGGTGCCACTTTTTTTCGTTGCTTGTCCCACTTTCTTTCGTTGAGTTTGTCCTACTTTTTTGGTTAGGTTTGCCCACTTTTTTCGTTAGGTTTGTCCTACTTTTTTTTCGTTACGTTTGTCCTATTTAGCATTGGCCCTATCCATTGGCTACCAAGATCTCTGGACCTAAATCCATACGATTTTCTTGGGTCACCTTAAAGATATTGTATATCAAATAGAGGTGAGTTCTGTAACACAGTTACATGTGAAACTCAGTTGGGCCTCTCAAGAAATCTCGCAAAGGGATTATTTTCGGATACTAAAAATATCATTCACTATAAAATGCAGGTCATGCATTAAGGCCAATTTTGAACACTTGGCCTAGAGAATTTGACAAAAACTTACAACCGTAACAACGTCAATGAAATCCCTTATTCCTTTTCGTATCATAAAAACATTCTTTGATATTCAACAATCAAGATGATCTTCCATTAGAATTATTGTTGTTGTAAGCATGCATAATGGTAGAGGTTACGGGCCTCCTGATCGCCATGCGCTGCGCGGGTTCGAGTCCCATCCCAAACAATTTTTTCTGCTAATGCATTGCATGTACTGGGGTTCCTGATCCGTCCTCAGAAAATATAATTCTATCCGCTAAGGTACCGCCAATTCTCAAATATCCTGGAGCCATGTTTTTGATCATTCGGATCAATTTTGAATTGGTCATATTGAAATTTTTGAACCCAGTAGAGATCACGACACTATCTATAGCTACAGAATGGAACCTTGGGTTCAACGTATTGATCACATCGGTAGATAAAGTGATAGTTTGTCGATCTGCCATACAGTGTCCTACCAAGAGTACTATTATGCACGACAATATGAATTGATACATCTTCAATAAAAATAATATCTAAATTATCAACTGTAATTATCGAGAAAAGTGAATCATTATTTGAGTAATGTGGAACAGGCGGTCTAACTCGATTTTGAATTAAAAACATCGTGATTAGATAATGGCAACTTGATCATTATCATGAAGATTACTTTACACTTTATATAAGTTCTACCTGCAACAAATATTTGGCTTCTACTTCACTGAGGCATAATGCAGTATCAATATTTTTTCAACGTACGATTTATAATCTCTACATTACGAAGCAATAAATTCATTACAAATCAATTTTAAAGTAAACAATTGCAATGAATGTTTTATTATCATACGCTTATGCTTATTGAAATAGTTCCTTAATTACTTGTTTTTGTAAATGTCACATATTACCCAATCTCTTGAGCCAGTGAAAAATGTTGGAATGAATTCATTGATTCATACTGCAGCTTAACCGCTTTGAACACGTTGGCTGCTTCGTGAAACAAGCGACTGATACTCAAAAGTACAACGAGATTACGATTAAAAGAATACTTTCTCTGTGAACGGAAATTCACCTATACCTATAAAACTGTGCCAAATGAAGCCCTCCTACATGTATACAAACAATTATCACTATAATATACCGTTTTCAAAAATAAACTAGTACAGTCCAATACAGGGTAATGTCACGTATTCTTGTTAAGGGGTGATAGATTAGGTCAAAATTTTGAGTTTTTTGTTATCGTCGCATAGCAGACATTCCAATTGTTCATAATAAGTAATAAAATGTTGAAAAGCTACAAACGTTTTAAAATTACGCTTTTTAAATTTTTTTTTTACTAACTTATTCGATAAAAAATGCAATTTTCTGTAAAAAATCTCCTAGTAATGAAATGTGCAAATTATGTAAATAATATCTCTATCTAACAAGCTTTCATTTGAGGTATTAAGCGTTCAATTATCTGAAGTACATGCAGAGAAACAACAATGACACCCAAAGAGGCTGGATTTTTAAGGAATTTGTATTGCCTGTTTGAACAAGTCGTTACTGTCCTCAAAGGACTCGCATGCCATGATTGTTTTATGGCATCGGCTCGACGAGGAAGCGAGCGAGAAGAGCTGACTTAGTGGAGGATTGAGAGAGAGGAAGCTGTTATTATTCATCATTGTAGTTACGCCATCGCCGCACGCCGAGTGAGAATTGGGTTTAGTTGGTATCAACTACTGCGTACGCGCACACGTTTTACGCACGATTATTATTTTCGAGTTTCCCAGTTCATTTCGAGTAGTTTCTTTATCATCATGGCAGACACAGAAAATCCGCCAGGACCTCGCCATAGCGAGCACGGGCAAACTTTTACAAATGAAGAATACGCAGACATAATGTTCTGTTATGGACTTTGTAACGGCGATTCTGCAGCTACCCGCCGTGAATATCGGCAACGTTTCCCGAATCGCCGAACACCTCATGTTACTGTGTTTGACTCTGTGTATCGGCGCATCCGCCAAACCGGACGTGTTCAAAGGCAACATAGTGATGCTGGTCGACCCCGAGTCTATCCTCCTGAAGATGAAGAGGAAATCCTCCGTGTGTTTCAGGAAGACCCTACTACGTCTACGCGCATTGTGGCTGCTCAGTTGGGTATATCACAATACAAAGTATGGTTTACTGTGCGTACTGCAAGATTACACGCTTATCACTACACGCCTGTGCATGTGATTAAAGAGGGCGATCCTGCAAGACGATTAGATTTCTGCAGGTACATGTTACATGCAGATACAGAAGATCCAGACTATTTTAAGAAAATTCTGTGGACCGATGAATCGAAGTTTGATAAGGACGGGATCACTAACTACCATAATGCTTATTACTGGGCTGATAAAGAAGCTTTAAACCCCCGAAAAATAAGACCGACGGGGTCTCAGAGCCGGTTTTCAGTCAATGTGTGGATGGGCATCATTGATAGATATTTAATTCGACCTCATTTTCTGCCCGCCAATTTAAATGGAGAAGTGTATGAAGAGTTCTTGAAAAGTCACTTGTTTCCATTAACGGAAGACGTCCCATTGGCGACGAGACAAAATATGCGGTTCCAGCACGACGGCTGTCCCGCACACTACAGTAGATTAGTACGGGCGTATTTAGACTCTAAATTTCCAAATCAATGGATTGGCAGAGGCGGGCCTATTGCCTGGCCAGCAAGAAGCCCAGATCTCACACCGATGGATTACTATGTGTCGGGACATATGAAAAGCCTGGTGTACAGTATTAATAAAATAATCAGTGCAGCTGACCAAATGAAAAGCCGCTTAACAACTAGAGTTACCAACAGTGCATTACGTAAGAGAATGCGGGCGTGTATTCGTAACAGGGGATTATAATTTGAGCAGAATCTGTAAAATACTAAAGGAAATGAAATTAAATTAAACTGTAATTAAAATAAAAGCCTTTTATTTATCCTACGTAATTATCGTTCGTACAACTTTACTCATCTTTTTTTAATTTTATGTCTTTGTACTTGAGTTAGTTGTAACTTTTATACCTCAAATGGAAGCTTGTTAGATAGAGATATTATTTACATAATTTGCACATTTCATTACTAGGAGATTCTTTACAGAAAATTGCATTTTTTATCGAATAAGTTAGTAAAAAAATAAGAAAATCATACATTTCAAAAGCGTTATTTTAACACTTTTGTAAGTTTTCAACATTTTATTACTTATTATGAACTATTGGAATGTCCGCTATGCGACGATAACAAAAAACTCAAAATCAAACATGTAGTTTTTTTGTATTTCAAATTTAACCGTCTGAAATCGGAATAAGAAATAAAAAAAAAATAAAATTCAAATAACTCAAAAACGGTTAACTTCTGGATAGGACATTATGGGACAAAATCGGTTGCTTTTGACCTAATCTATCACCCCTTAACGGGAATACGTGACATTACATGTCACCCTGTATATTAACCTACTATGACATCAGCTTTTTACCACATTACAAAACACCAAAGTTAAAAGATGAACGGCAGAAATTGGAAAATCTTCGCGATCGCAGTACTTCTCTGACTGTAATAAGCAAGAAGCGGTAAACAGTTCCTTTTTTAAAGATTCATGCAAACAAATTTACAAATAGATTATAAACTGAGAACTAGATCAATGCGATTAGTACTTACAATATTCATTTCGTTTCTTCTTCTCCTTCGTATACTGAGTCAGGAAGTGTACTGCCAAAACTTGAGTGCGCTGGTTTTGGATATAATAAATATATACTTCAATTGTACAGTTATTTGAACAAAGTGAGTAAGCCTGGACGACAAATTCCTTGGATTTGCATACAAATACAAGGTGGACTAAAAATCACGAGTCTTTGAATGAAAATTGAAACGAAGCTAACGAGGAACCTATTGGCTATGAAACGTGGAGCTACAGTTACGGTTAACTTTTTTAAGTCATCCGCATAATGCCGGTTATTCATTTGCTGTAAAGCATTTTAAAAGACTAAAGGCCATCATTTACAGTCGTTCTAAGCTTCAAACCTCCAAATGGCTAACTTCTTTTTTGCAAGGCTTCCGTATCCCCGCAGTAATGTTACATGCAAAAATATTAGGATCTGCACGGATAGCAGACAATCAATGCTGACTCTCAACTGTTACACGAGCTTAGAACGAGAACAGTACTAGACTCCAAATGAAACCACATATGTATAAATTCATTTTTACTGACGTTTCGGCCACGGCGTGCCGTCTTGAAATTGCAATGGAGTCTTCTCTGGATCTCTGTGTCGACGTGGTACAGGTTGTTGTCGCAACAGTAACGAAGAAAAAATAAAAACAAATGAACCGACACCTGGAAGACAGATAAATATAAAATATATTTTCATTGTCACTGTGCCTTCTCAAAGGTGAAACGTTCGTAAAAAGTACCTAAAACAAATGAGAATCGTGGCCATGTCCACAATAAAGAAACAGGAGCAGAAATAGAAGGATTGCTAACCGAAGCAAATGGATGTGCAACGAATACACCGAACTGATAACATATGCCCACCACAGGATACGGGTGCAACCTAAAGGAAAACAAGGATGTAAAAGTACAAACAACTAGAAGCCACCAGCAAGAGCCAGCAGGCACATTTGTGGATTCGATCCGAAGACCTCGTGCTTACGAACCCACAACTAACGTTGCCACGGAGGCCAGCTATAGCTACCTACCGTGGTAATGCAAGCCCATGAGTAAATATAAAAAAATACAAGCAGTCTTGCGACCTTCGGTGTTTTCGATAGACATTCATTTGTGCCTGATGAAGCCAGTAAGCAGAAACGTACGTCGCTCGGGTTAACAATCCTTCTATTTCTTGCTCCTTCATCTATTGCGGACATGCCTGTGAATACGAGTATCCTTTACTTTTTATCTTTTTCTTCTTAGTTTCGCAAGACTGCTTGACCTATTTTTGTAAAAGTTAATACATATCTGGTTTCATTCATTAATGCTTCTAAATCTTCTGCTGTGCTGTTTTGTCCAAATCTCAGAAGAGCCGAAGTCAAAGCTTCCTTGAGTATATCTATTAACAATCAAAATCTTCCTTTTTCTGAAAGTGTCAAGTGTCTAGGTGTGTTTATTGATGAAAACGTGCGGCTTCGTGAACATTTAAATAACCTCTTACAAAAAAGTTGTGTGAATCTTTTGTGTTATCTATTTTTAGTTATAGCAATCTAGTTTATCATCCTTGTTTGGATGTTGCAAGTCGTAACAGAATATCTGTAGTACAAAATAACTGCGTACGATTCATATTTAGTTTAAGAAAATTTGATCATGTTTCGGATCGTTATCCTTTAATAGGTTGGTTAAAGATGACAGATTTAGTTAAATACAACTATCTAACCGTTATACATAAGTTACTTGTATCTGGAACTCCAATTTATTTACGTGAAAAACTAATTTTTAGGTATAATGTTCATCAACGACATATCCGTAACACATTCGCTTTAACAATGCCACTTCATAGTTCATCTGTTTTTAACAGGTCCTTCTCATATAATGCATGCATGTTGTACAATAGCTTAGATTACAGAACAAAAAGCCTGCCGCTGTATAGTTTTAAAAAACGCTTAAGAGCTCTTCTGCTCAACGGTGATTCTTAAAGGTGTTTTTCTCCAGCATTCTATTTTTAAGCTAATTTTTATTTAGGTTGTAATCAGTTACATTGGCATTTTCCTCCTTTTATTTTCTTTACAGCTGTACTTTTTTACCATCTATTATTCTTATGCAGTTAATGGTTAAGTTTAAGAATAGCTGCCATAGCTAAACTTCGCCATTAGCTGCTCACTAATCTAATTATAGATAATAATATATGCATTATCTGTAATTAGTTTTTTCTAATAAAAGACGGTTTATTATTATTATTATTATTATTATTCGACCAGAAAATCATGAAGTTCTGTCATCATAAAAACCACAGCATAACTTTCAAATGTTACATTATAGCGAAACTTGTCACCGATGCTTACAAAAATCTGTGATGCTTTATAATTGTACATATCTATGTATCTTGAAAATAATGTTGACTTAGAAAAATCGTGAAGATATGTTTTCCACCCGGTTTTTTTGAAGAGTAATAAAGTTTCAGTGACATATACTTACTTTATTGGTTTTGCGTAGTGAATACTTTGTTTATTTTTCCAATTACGGCCACATCCCGTTACATTTTTATGTATGCCATTGTCCAAACAAAAATTTCATGCGAAATGAATGACTGTTTTCACGCAAAATGGTTTTATTATAGTAAATGTGTCATTGCAACACGCATCATCAAGTCGAGTTCAGGATTCTCACCACAGGGTGTCCAGAAATAGAAGGATAATCCTGCAGCTGCAAATATCATGGCCTAGTTACTAGGTTAGTATATGGCAAAATTATATTTTATTAGAAGTCTTATAGGATTACAGATTTTCAGCATTTGTTTTTTTTTGTTGTTGAAAATACAGGCTTACATTTAGTTAATTCCGTGCCATTTCCATAAATATCAACCTTTTTGAATTAGGTTTATATTAGGACACTCAGAATTAAGCATTTCACTCCACTTTATTATTTTTTCTTAAAATAGCCATATATCCATATAAAAATCATACCAAAGTCTAAGCTTAGATTGAAACTCTTTCTCACGTCTGATTATGATAGCCTATAATGTGAAAAAATCAAGAGTCACTGTGTCAATTATTCCATAAAGTTGGTTATTAAATGGTATTAATGTTATTCTCACTCTGCTGTCCTTTTCTTCTAACTGCAGATATACTGATTCGCAAAAATTAAAAAGCATCGTATTTTTATTTGGCTTAAAGAGAAAACTGGTATCGAGTAGGTTGACTTCCTACGCAATGCTGTCGCGAATTCACAAGGGATTATTTTGAGTACAAGTTAGTCCCTCTTAGAAAAACAGTGACTACTAACATGTACAACAATGGAATTAAATGGATCATCTCAAACAGGCTCATATACTAAGTGACATATAAATCCGAACACCCAGTTTAAATGGTTTTATTTTAATAAAATTTTGTATAAGTACTTAATGAAGCATAATAAGTAAATGATAAAAATTTCAAAATGATTGCACTGCTTTAAAGCCCTTTGACCTTTAATAATGTGTGGAAGCACCCTGATGTGCTACGCATTCTCCAACGCGCCTAGGCATGCTTCTGATCAGGTGGTCAATGTCCTCCTGTGGTATCTTATTCCAGGCAACCACCAACTTCTCTCGAAGTGCTTCTAGAGTCTGAGGAGGACGTTGCAAATTGAGTAATCTCCTACCTCTCCCACACGTGCTCAATTGTGGATAAGTCGGGAGATCTTGGTGGCCATGGTAATAATGTGACATCATTATGTTGAAAGAAGTCTATTGTGACTCTTGCAACATGTGGTCGGGCATTATCTTGTTGGAAAGTTGGATCTGCCAGGGTGTCAAGATAGGGTAAAAGATGGGGTTCTAGAACTTCGTGGATATAACGCTGCGCGTTCATGTTACCTCTGATGAAGATTAAAGGTGACCTGGAACCATAAGCTATAGCACCCCAAACCATAACTCCAACAGTATGACAAACAAGTCTTTCAACAAAAAAATGTGGATTCCTCCTTTCATCACGTCGCCTTCTAACAAAATCGAGACTCGTCACTAAAGACAATACTGTTCCATTCCTGATCTCAGAGTGACCGTTGTCTGCACCACTCAAGGCCATTACGTCGGTGTTCTCGAGTTAAAGGGAGGACCCAGTGTGGCCGCTATGAAAACAAGCCAAAACTTCTCATTCGTCGGTAAACACTTCGCATGCCAATAGGTCTTCCGTGTTCTGCAAACCATTCATTTGCAATGGACCTGGTAGTGGAGAAACGGTCCCTTAAGGCCAATAATCTTAGTCGGCGATCTTCACGGTCTGTTGTTCTACGGCGGCGTCCAGTGTCCCTTGCTCTTTGCGTGTGGCCTTCTCGAAGCCATACCTGACAACACCTAACCACAGTGTCTACACTTCTTTGCACTCTAACTGCAATTGCCCGAAAAGAAAGTCCAGCTTCCCGAAGTCCCACTATACGGCCCCTATCAAACTCACTAAGTTGACGAAATCGTACAGGTCTCCGTACTCTGGGCATCGTAACCGATCGTAAAGGTTGTCAAGAACCAAAATCCGCCAACGTTGATTCTTTACTGCGGCTGAAATATTCATTTTTAGAGCGTTAGTGAATTAAAAAAAAGCAGTATAAAAACCGGAATGTCCAACTGATAAGGCTGAAAATTTTTTCACTTGTTATTTACAATAAGATAAATACATTCACCAACTTTTATTTAAATAGAACCATTTAAACTGGGTGTTCGGATTTATATGTCACTTAGTATACATTCAGTCCATAGTAATACGATCTGCTGTTGCAGAAAATATCAATGTCAAAATATGGCACAAATGGTCCACCATACCATTGGATAAGTCTGAATGCGCCCATAAAGTGCGACATCCTCACATCACCATATGCGTCTCTCGGGGCTCTATTCTAGGAGCTGTGCTATATCCAAATGACCTTGGGTACTGTTCCTCTGAAGGTAGATTCATTTTATATGAAGATGATACTTCAGCGGCAATATCGAATAAGTGTGAGGATACTGTAGAGAGAGATTGTCGGGTTTTACTGCAAAATATTGACAAGCGGTTCAGCAATCATCAACTCTTCTTGAATTCTGAAAAAGCATTGTCCGATTTCATAACATCCAGAAGAAACTTGTAACTTCATATATTATTGGCTCAGGAAAATTATTGGGATTGTATCTAGATTCAGGATTATGCTTTAAAGTGTAC